GACTAAACCAGGACTAACCAGGACTAAACCAGACTAAACCAGACTAAACCAGAAACCAGGACTAAACCAGGACTGAACCAGGACGACCAAACCAGGAATAAACCAGGACTGAACCAGGACAAACAGACTAAACCAGGACTAAACCAGAAGTAAACCAGGACTAAACCAGGACTGAACCAGGACCAAACCAGGAATAAACCAGGACTAAACCAGGACTAAACCAGAAGTAAACCAGGACTAAACCAGGACTGAACCAGGACCAAACCAGGTAAACCAGGACTAAACCAAACCAGGACTAAACCAGACTAAACCAGGACTAAACCAGGACTAACCAGAAGTAAACCAGGACTAAACCAGGACTAAACCAGGACCAAACCAGGACTAACCAGAAGTAAACCAGGACTAAACCAGGACTAAACCAGGACCAAACCCAAACCAACCAGAAGTAAACCAGGACTAAACCAGGACTGAACCAGGACCAAACCAGGACTAAACCAGGACTAAACCAGAAGTAAACCAGGACTAAACCAGGACTGAACCAGGAATGAACCAGGACTAGACCAGGACTAAACCAGGAATAAACCAGGACTGAACCAGGACTAAACCAGGACTAAACCAGGACTGAACCAGGTCTAGACCAGGACTAAACCAGGACTAAACCAGGACTGAACCAGGACTAAACCAGAACTAAACCAGTTCGACCTTGTGATGTCATGAAGTGGTAGTTTTCAATTGAACAGATCCTTTTCCCTTTTGACACATCCAGTCCTGAAATGATCCAGATGATTCTATTGTGTGGAGTTTAAAAACACAGTGGAGCACTTCCTGCACCGCCACACGATGACATCACAGGGTGGAACACAGTGTTTTGAGTGTGAGAGAAGAGTTTGTGTGTGTTTGTGTGTGTGTGACGTGGGACGTGTGAAGCTGCTCTGTCCACGGCCAAACGAGAAAATCTATTTGTGAATCGGACAAAAGTTTATTTAGTCAAAAACGTTTCACACACGTTTACAGTTTGTGTTTGAATCAAAGGACCGAATGTGGAACTGGACAAGACCCAGGTCTGGACTAGGTCTAAGTCTAGGCTGAAGGTTTAAAGTCTACGTTTAGGTCTACATTTAAGTCGAGGTTTAAAGTCTAGGTTTAGGTTTAAAGTCTAGGTCTAGGTCTTGGTTTAAAGTCTAGGTCTAGGGTTTAACTCTAGGTCTAGGTTTAAGTCTAGCTCTAGGTTTAAAATCTAGGACTTGGTTAAAAGTCTAGGTCTAGGTTTAAGTCTACGTCTAGGATTAAGTCTAGGTCTAGGGTTTAAGTCTAGGTCTAGGTTTAAAATCTAGGTCTAGGTTTAAGTCTAGGTCTAAATCTAGGTCTAAGTCTAGGTCTAGCTCTAGGTTTAAAATGTAGGTCTTGGTTTAAAGTCTAGGTCTAGGTGTAAGTCTAGGTCTAGGGCAGGGGTCGGCAACCCAAAATGTTCAAAGAGCCATAATGGCCCAAAAAAACAAAAACCATACCTGTCTGGAGCCGCAAAAAATGAAAAGCCTTATATAAGCCTAATATGAAGACAACATAGGCTGTCAGTATATTACAAATACAAAATGAGCATTCATGATTACACAAACCCCTTTTGCGACACTCTCATACTCGGTGCGGCGTCTGTAGCCACTGAAATCAGGTGGTTAGTGTTTATTCCTTTGTCATTTAGGCCCCGTTTACACGTACACGGGTATTTTTAAAAACGGAGACATTTCCCTTCGTTTGTACACATTGTTTACACGCAAACAGCAAATTTGCCTCTGAAAACGAATCTTTCTAAAAACTCAGGCTAGAGTGGAGATTTTGGAAAACTCCGGATTTATGTTTGTGTGTAAACTGAGATAAACAGAGTTTTAGGAGCTGACGGGCTGAAAGTGCGACCGACGTTTACCTGTTGCTATGACGACGATGACGGAAGCATTCAGAGCAGCAGTCGCATTTCTTCTGATCGTGCATAGGAGCACTCAGAAAACAGCAGCATGGAGAACTTTGTACGCAACTCACCGCACATCAGCCCGGAGTCTGAGCTCGGGCAGCAGCGCCAAACACACGGGGCAGTCAGCGCGCAGCTCCTCAAGACGGGGCTGGGGGTCCAGTGTTGGTCAGATTGTCCAGAGGCTTCGTCCTCCATGTCCTGGTTCCAGACGGGGGCGAGCAAGACCAGAGCGCATAGGACTGGGTCAGAGTGCTTCAGTGCAGTCATCTGTGCGCTGGTTCCGTGCAGGAAAAGCGAGAATGCGCTGTGGACCACAGGTCCGGGCGGGCTGCTCCGGTCCTCCACGCTCGACCGCAGCTGTTTCTGAGTTGGTGCATCATCCGTACAGAAGCGTGAATCCCGTTTGGTTCGTTATATGTTGTTCTGAGCGTCCGTCTGCGCACGTGTTTTTTTTGTTTTGTTTTTTTCTCGGGGAAAGCGCTTCTCAGGTGGACAGTGTTGGGAAGGTTACTTTTAAAATGTATTCCCTTACAGATTACAGATTACATACCCCAAAATGTAGTTTGTAACGTAATCCATTAAATTACTTAAGGTGAGTAACGTTATCTGATTACTTTGGATTACTTGATATTGTTATGCTTTTTAAAACTACATGAATGTACCAACCATATCCTGAAAATTCTTGTTCTCTTCAAATTTTTTGTTGAGCCGAAGTCTCCATGAATAAGCAACTGTTTGCTGTAGAGAAGCAAAGACCAGGAAATCATAACATAATTGTCTGATAAAAGAAAATAAAAAAAACCCAGTCTTTACTTAAGCATATAAAAAATATTATTGATAGAAAAATTATTTCTATATGAGATCACTGCTGCCTTAAATTATGTTCACTCTACTGTTAGGTGTCATATTGTTTAGACCTGGTTTAATCCTGATTTAGTCCTGATTTAGTCCTGGTTTAGTCCTGGTTTTAGTCCTGGTTTTAGTCCTGCATTAGTCCTGCTTTAGTCCTTCTTTTAGACGTGGTTTAATCCTGCTTTAGTCCTGCTTTTAGACCTGGTTTAGTCCTTCTTTTAGACGTGGTTTAATCCTGCTTTAGTCCTGCTTTTAGACCTGGTTTAGTCCTTCTTTTAGACGTGGTTTAATCCTGCTTTAGTCCTGCTTTTAGACCTGGTTTAGTCCTTCTTTTAGACGTGGTTTAATCCTGCTTTAGTCCTGCTTTTAGACCTGGTTTAGTCCTTCTTTTAGACGTGGTTTAATCCTGCTTTAGTCCTGCTTTTAGACCTGGTTTAGTCCTGGTTTTAGACCTGGTTTAGTCCTGGTTTAGTCTTGGTTTAGTGCTGCTTTTAGTCCTGGTTTTAGTTCTGGTTTTAGTCCTGGTTTAGCCCAAAATGTGAAAACCGGAAAATACTGCCATGTAATCCATTTATTTCAACCAAGTAACTGTAATCCAATTACCACTCACTGAGACAGTAACTGTAACTGAATACAGTTACTCATAATTTGTATTCTGATTACGTAATCCTCAACACTGCAGGTGGAGGCACCGGACACCACCCCCCACTTCAGTTCATCTATTTGTTCTGCTGAAACACTTTTCATGTGTTTCATTTACACACAGCTGATGGATCAGATCCATGACCAGAGATGAACGAGGGTTTTACCCCTAAAGAAACCAGATTAAAACAACAACCAAAAAAATCATTCCTTTTCCATTTTCACTCATTTTTGAAAAAGCTCCAGGGAGCCACTAGGGGAGTGCTAAAGAGCCACATGCGGCTCCGGAGCTGCGGGTTGCCGACCCCTGATCTAGGGTTTCAGACTAGGTCTAGGTCTAGGTCTAGATTTAAAGTCTAGGTTTAAGTCTAGGTTTTGGTCTAGGTTTATGTCTAGGTATGAAGGGTGGGTGACTTAGCACAGGGAGCCGAGCATGATACTACTCTGTATTATCCCATAACAGTAAATACCCCTCTGTATTATCCCGTAACACGAAATACCCCTCTGTATTACCCCGTAACACGAATACCCCTCGTATTAGATACCCTCCGTATTACCCCGTAACACTATAACCCCTCCGTATTACCCGTATTACCCCGTAACACTATAAACCCCCTACCCGTAACATAAATACCCCTCCGTATTACCGTAACACTAAATACCCTCCGTATTACCCTAAATACGTATACCCGTCCGTATTACCCCGTAACACGTATAAATACCCCTCCGTATTACCCTGTAACACTAAATACCCCTGCGTATTACCCCGTAACACTAAATACCCCTCCGTATTACCCCGTAACACTAAATACCCCTCCGTATTACCCCGTAACACTATAAACCCCTCCGTATTACCCCGTAACACTAAATACCCCTCCGTATTACCCTGTAACACTATAACCCCTCCGTATTACCCCGTAACACTAAATACCCCTCCGTATTACCCCGTAACACTATAAACCCCTCCATATTACCCCGTAACACTAAATACCCCTCCGTATTACCCCGTAACACTATAAACCCCTCCGTATTACCCCGTAACACTAAATACCCCTCCGTATTACCCCGTAACACTAAATACCCCTCCGTATTACCCCGTAACACTAAATACCCCCGTTTACCCGTAACACTAAATACCCCTCCGTATTACCCCGTAACACTAAATACCCCTCCGTATTACCCCGTAACAGTAAATACCCCTCCGTATTACCCCGTAACAGTAAATACCCCTCCGTATTACCCCGTAACAGTAAATACCCCTCTGTATTGCCTCTTTTTTGCCCCGGAGTCTCTTTTCTGTGTCATGTGTGAATTATTTATTCGTGTCCTTGGGCCGAGATCCAGAATCTGAAACTCGGTCACAAACAGAAAAACGTCCCAGAGACAAACTACAAACGACAAACGAGCAAAAGAGCAAAGAGGGACAGAGCCCACACTCGATACTGATACTCGATACTGATTATCGATACTCAATACCAATACTTGATACTCGATACCGGTTCTGCTCCGCGGGGTAAACACGGTCGTGGTTTAGACTCACCGATGTTCGGGTGTTTGAGGAGGCGACAGATCCGAGCCTCACGATCCAACTTCTGATGATCTGAAACACACACAACCGGGTCAGAACCAGGACCAGGACTAAACCAGGACCAGGTCTGAATCAAGTCTAGGTCTGAACCAGGACCAGGACTGAACCAGGACTGGGAATAAACTAGTACCAGGTACGAACCAGGTCTAAAACCGGTCTGAACCTGAACCAGAACCAGGTCAGAATCAGGACTAGGTTTAAACTAGGACCAGGTCTGAACCAGGTTTGAACCAGGTCTAAACCACGTCTAAACTAGCACCAGGTATGAACTAGGATCAGATCTGAACCAGGTCTAGGTCTGAACTAGGACTAGGTCTGAACCAGGTTTGATCCAGGTCTTAACCAGGTTTAAACTTGGACCAGGTCTGGACCAGGACCAGGTCAGAACCAGGTCTAAACCAGGTCTAAACCAGGTCTAAGTCTAAACTAGAACTAGGTCTAAACCAGGACCAGGTCTAAACCAAATGTAAACCAGATCTGAACCAGGTCTAGGTCTAAACTAGAACCAGGTCTAAACCAGGTCTGAACCAGGACCAAGTCTGAATCAGGACTAGGCTTAAACTAGGACCAGGTCTGAACCAGGTTTGAACCAGGTCTAAACCAGGTCTAAACCAGGTCTAAACCAGATGTAAACCAGGTCTGAACCAGGTCTTAGAACTCTCTAAAAGAGAATTCTCCTTTCTATAATTTTTTTCAGTTTTTCTTCACAAATTATTTCTTGATTTGAGTAAAATTTTCTTTTATATTTACAAAAGAAAAGAGGGCATCTGACACACGAGGAGGGAGGGCATCTGACACACGAGGAGGGAGGGCATCTGACACACACAGGGAGGGAGGGCATCTGACACACACAGGGAGGGAGGGGCATCTGACACACACAGGGAGGGCATCTGACACACACAGGGAGGGCATCTGACACACGGGCAGGGCATCTGACACACGGCGAGGGCATCTGGCGCTCGCCGTGGCTGTGGTCGTGATGCTGGCCTGTGATTGGCTGCTGCTTGTTGCCTGGTAACAGTAAAGTTGACGTTCTCCTGCAGCAGTGAGTTATGTAACAGAGACACGTCCAGAACAAACTCCACACACACCGAGTTTTGATCTGGTCTAGATCTGGTCTAGATCTGGTCTAGATCTGGTCTAGATCTGGTCTAGATCTGGTCTACATCTGGGTTAGATCTGGGTTAGAGCTCATTTAGTTCCAGTTTGGATCTGGTGTCAGTCTCTGGTTTGGTTTCTGGTTTAGTCCTTCTTTAGTCCTTGTTTGGTCCTGTTTTGGTCCTGGTGTAGTCCTGGTCTCAGTCTCTGGTTTAGTCCTGGTTTGGTCCTGATCTAGTCCCAGCCTAGTCCCGGTCTAGTCTTGATCTGGGTCTCTGGTCTAGTCCCGGCCTAGTCTAGGTCTGGCCTCGGTCTGGTCTCGGTCTGGGTCTCTGGTCTAGTACCAGTCTAGTTCTGGTCTGGGTCTCTGATCTGGATCTCTGGTCTAGTATCAGGGTAGTCTAGGTCTAGTTTCCGTCCGGGTCTCTGGTCTAATCCGAGTCTAGTCCTGGTCTAGTCCCGACCTAGTCTCGTCTGGGTCTTTGGTCTGGGTTTCTGGTCTAGTCCCGGTCTAGTCTCGGTCTGGGTTTCTGGTTCAGTCCTAGTCTAGTCCCGGTCTAGTCCTGGTGTAGTCCCAGTCTCAGTCCCAGTCTCTGGTTTGGTCCTGGTCTGGGTCTCTGGTGTAGTCCTGGTCCTAGTCTGGATCTGGTCCTGATCCAGGTCTTGGTCTCTGGTCTCAGTGCTGGTCTAGTCCCGGTGTAGTCCTGGTGTAGTCCCGGTCTCAGTCCTGGTCTGGGTCTGGTCCTGGTCTAGGTCTATTCCGGGTCTGGTCCTGGTCTCTAGTCCTGGTCCGGGTCTTGGTCTCTGACCTCGTGCTGACAGTTTCTTGGTGTTGATGATCTTGGCGGCGAATTCTTGTCCCGTGTGAACTTTGACACAACGACGCACGATGGAGAACGCTCCTCTGGAACAGAGACAGAGTCACACACAGGTCCACTACCCGCTCACAGGGTCCACCACCCGCTCACAGGGTCCACCACCAGCTCAGAAAGTCCACCACCCACCCAAAGAGTCCACCACCCGCCCAGAGAGTCCACCACCCGCTCAGAGGGTCCACCACCCGCTCAGAGAGTCCACCACCCGCTCAGAGGGTCCACCACCCGCTCAGAGGGTCCACCACCCGCCCACAGGGTCCACCACCCGCCCACAGGGTCCACCACCCACCCAGAGAGTCCACCACCTGCTCAGAGGGTCCACCACCCGCCCACAGAGTCCACCACCCGCCCACAGAGTCCACCACCCGCTCAGAGAGTCCACCACCCGCCCACAGGATCCACCACCCGCCCAGAGAGTCCACCACCCGCTCAAAGAGTCCACCACCCGCCCAGAGGGTCCCCTGGAGAGTCCCACACCCACTCAGGGAGACCCACACATCTGCTCAGAGGGTCCTTCACCCGCCTGGGATGTTCCCACACTCACCCAGGGGGCCCACACCCGCCCACAGACCTGCTTTAGTCCTGGTTTGGTCCTGGTTTAGACCTGGTTTAGTCCTGGTTTATGGTTCAGATCTTTGGGTTTATTCACATGAAACAAAAAATGGCACAATGCGTCTCCTCTGTATAAACTAAAGAAATAAATCAGAACTAAACCAGGACTAAACCAGGACTAAACCAGGACTGAACCAGGACTAAACCAGGATATCAACAAAATCTACAAATCCAAACTGGGACTAAACTGGGGCTAAAGCTTTAAGAATAGTTTCATAAAGATCAAATGTTTTGAGAACTGGTTCAGACCTGGTTTAGTCCTGGTTTAGTCTTGGTTTAGTCTTGGTTTAGTCCTGGTTCAGACCTGGTTCAGACCTGGTCCTGGTCTCTGGTGTCCACCATATTTCGTGCAGTGATGTTAAAATGTTTGTTCTCTGATTGGTGGAGACACTTCCTGGAGCCCACAGACCAGTTCCGGGCAGTGCTCTGATTGGCCCCTTGCCTCAGAGCAGTGCTGTGATTGTCTTTCTCCCTCAGAGCAGTGCTGTGATTGGCTGTTTCCCTCAGAGCAGTGCTGTGATTGGCTGTTTCTCTCAGAGCAGTGCAGTGATTGGCTGTTTCCCTCAGAGCAGTGCTGTGATTGGCTGTTTCCCTCAGAGCAGTGCTGTGATTGGCTGTTTCTCTCAGAGCAGTGCTGTGATTGGCTGTTTCCCTCAGAGCAGTGTTGTGTCTTTCTCCCTCAGAGCAGTGTTGTGATTGGCTGTTTCCCTCAGAGCAGTGTTGTGATTGTCTTTCTCCCTCAGAGCAGTGTTGTGATTGGCTGTTTCCCTCAGAGCAGTGTTGTGATTGTCTTTCTCCCTCAGAGCAGTGTTGTGATTGTCTTTCTCCCTCAGAGCAGTGTTGTGATTGGCTGTTTCCCTCAGAGCAGTGTTGTGATTGTCTTTCTCCCTCAGAGCAGTGTTGTGATTGGCTGTTTCCCTCAGAGCAGTGCTGTGATTGTCTTTCTCCCTCAGAGCAGTGCTGTGATTGGCTGTTTCCCTCAGAGCAGTGTTGTGATTGGCTGTTTCCCTCAGAGCAGTGTTGTGATTGGCTGTTTCCCTCAGAGCAGTGCTGTGATGGTCTTTTTCCCTCAGAGCAGTGCTGTGATTGGCTGTTTCCTTCAGAGCAGTGTTGTGATTGGCTGTTTCCCTCAGAGCAGTGTTGTGATTGGCTGTTTCCCTCAGAGCAGTGCTGCGATTGGCCGCCGCCCACAGAGTTATGTAAGCGCCCGGAGCTGAGTGGGAAGAGAGTGGGCTGAGGCCAAGAGGTCCACTCCAACGCTTCATACATCTACAACAGAAACCAGGTCTGAACCAGGTCTGAACCAGGTCTGAACCAGGTCTGAACCAGGCCTGAATCAGGTCTGAACCGGGTCTGAACAAGTCTAAACCACATCTGAACCACTTTTGAACCAGATCTGAAACCAGGTTCGACCAAGACTAAACCGGGACTAGGACTAAACAAGGATTAAATCAGGTCTAAACAAGACTAAACCAGGAGTAAAGAAGGACTAAACTATGTCTAAACTAGGATTAAACCAGAACTAAACAAGGACTAAACTAGGACTAAACCAAGACTAAACTAGGTCTAAACCAGGACTAAACCAGGTCTAAATCAGGACTTAACAAGAACTAAACCAGAACTAAACCAGGACTAAACTAGGTCTAAACCAGGACTAAACCAGGTCTAAATCAGGACTTAACAAGAACTAAACCAGGACTAAACCAGGACTAAACAAGGTCTAAACCAGGACTAAACCAGGACTAAACCAGGACTAAACTAGGTCTAAACCAGGACTAAACCAGGTCTGAACCAGGACTAAACCAGGACTGAACCAGGTCTAAACAAGGACTAAACCAGGACTAAACCAGAAATAAACCAGGACTAAACTAGGTCTAAACCAGGACTAAACCAGGACCAAACCAGGACTAAACCAGAAATAAACCAGGACTAAAACAGGTCTAAACCAGGACTAAACCAGGACCAAACCAGGACTAAACCAGGACTGAACCAGGACCAAACCAGGACCAAACCAGGACTAAACCAGGACCAAACCAGGACCAAACCAGGACTAAACCAGGACTGAACCAGGTCTCCGACTACATAAGAAATAGAAATAACTAGAAACACTGAAATCTTCTATAATAAATAAGATTAAATATATGAGATTCAAGGCTAATATCTTCGGCTACAGGGCGAATTTCCCATTTATAAAACTGTGGGCACTGCTCTGTCTGATTCTTCATGAAACTTTAATCTGAGTTTTGTTTTTTAACACAATCTGACCAATCGGACCTCTGATTTTAAACACGTCCCGCTAAAGAACATTAACATTACCGTTACAAGCTAGCGTTAGCATTAGCATTAGCGTTAGCATTAACATTAGCACTTGCATTAGCATTAGCATTAGCCAATAGTTTTTCAGTTTGTCACGTTCACGTTTTTGTTGAAAATCAAACTCTTAAACACCATAAACGCTCGAACTGATCACGGGAAAATTTAAATCTGCTCTTTAAATCACTTTTATACTTTCTCTCCAAATTTGAAACTTTTTTGTCTGAGTTTGTTGCTAATGTGTCTTGTGTCCCCACGGTAACCGCTGAATAATCCACCACAGAGACACATGTACATCACCCCCAGCGCAATGTTACACACACACACACACACACACACGCACACACACACACACACACACACACACACACACACACACACACACACACACACACACACACACACACACACACACACACACAGTATTTATTATCATTTTTTTTTTTTTTTAATAGGTTTATCATTATTAGGTTTATTATTATTATTATTAGGTTTAATATTATTATTAGGTTTATTATTTTTAGGTTTATTATTTTCATTATTATTTTTAGGTTTATTATTTTTAAGTTTATCATTTTAAGGTTTACTATTTTTAGGTTTATTGTTTTTATTATCATTTTTAGGTTTATCATTTTCATTATCATTTTATTTTCATTATTATTTTTAAGTTTAGAATTTTCATGTCATTAATACTGCATTTCCATTATCGTTTTAGATTAATCGTTTTTTATGTTTATAATTTTCATTATCATTCCATTATCATGCCATTATAATTTCATTATCATTTCAATTTCATGATCATTTTTAGGTTTAACATTTTTAGTTAGTTTTTTTGTTTTTTTAGTTTACCAAAAAGAGGCCGCGCAGACATTTACTCAGTATAAAAAAAGTGTTTCTGGTGTTTTCTCTTTAAAGGTGTACTCCGCAGTGTTGCATTAAACGTATCTTATCTCCATGGAGACAAAAACAGTGACAACAACAAGCCAAGTTACACGTCAGATCTGTGGAGAGGCGACCCTGCTCGTGCTTTTTAAAGAAATAAAAATGCCCGTAATTTAATAAACGCCGGACAGATTTAGACGTTTTTAAATATATTGGACGATTTAATGTGTTCTGTGTCTCCATGGTAACTGCTGAATATTCCACCATAGAGACACGCGTAGAACACCCCCAGTGCAATGTGAGCGCAGAGTCCGAGTCTGGGATCTTTAAATCTGAGGCAGTTTCTAAAAAGAGTTTCAAATGTGAGAATTATGTAAATACAACGAAAGATATGAACAAATCCACCCTGAACCAAACCAGGAATAAACCAGGACTAAACCAGGACTAAACCAGGACTGAACCAGGATTTAACCAGGACTGAACCAGGACTAAACCAGGACTGAACCAGGATTTAACCAGGACTACACCAGGACTGAACCAGGACTAAACCAGGACTGAACCAGGATTTAACCAGGACTGAACCAGGACTAAACCAGGACTGAACCAGGATTTAACCAGGACTGAACCAGGACTAAACCAGGACTGAACCAGGATTTAACCAGGACTACACCAGGACTGAACCAGGACTAAACCAGGACTAAACCAGGACTAAACCAGGACTGAACCAGGATTTAACCAGGACTGAACAAGGACTACACCAGGACTGAACAAGGACTACACCAGGACTGAACCAGGACTAAACCAGGACTAAACCTGGACTAAACCAGGACTACACCAGGACTGAACCAGGTCTAAACCAGGACTACACCAGGACTGAACCAGGTCTAAACCAGGATTAAACCAGGTCTAAACCAGGACTAAACCAGGACAACACCAGGACTGAACCAGGTCTAAACCAGGACTAAACCAGGACTAAACCAGGACTAAACCAGGATTTAACCAGGACTGAACAAGGACTACACCAGGACTACACCAGGACTGAACCAGGACTAAACCAGGACTAAACCCGGACTAAACCAGGACTACACCAGGACTGAACCAGGTCTAAACCAGGACTAAACCAGGACTACACCAGGACTGAACCAGGTCTAAACCAGGACTAAACCAGGACTACACCAGGACTGAACCAGGTCTAAACCAGGATTAAACCAGGTCTAAACCAGGACTAAACCAGGTCTAAACCAGGACTAAAGCAGGACTACACCAGGACTGAACCAGGTCTAAACCAGGACTAAACCAGGTCTAAACCAGGACTAAAGCAGGACTACACCAGGACTGAACCAGGACTGAACCAAGACTAAACCAGGACTAAAACAGGACTAAAACAGGACTAAACCAGGACTGGTCAAACGTCTCATCAGGAGTCAGAGTGCAGGTCAAACTTTGGTGTCTGTTGTGAGGAAATGTCCCGTACTGAGGCTTTAACTCTAACGTGAAGAGAAGTGAAGTGTCACTGCAAAACAAACACTACACATGTGTCCTTCCTCGTCTCCTTCTCTCCTCACTCTCCATCTCTCTCTTTCCCCCTTCTTTCCCTAACCTCTCTTTGTGTACACACTCTCCCTCCCTCTCTCTCTCTCCATCCCTCTCCATCTATCCCCTCTCTCCTTTCCTCTCCATCTGATTCTTCCTCCTCTCTCTCCTTCTCTCTCTCTGTCTCTCCTCTCTCCTGTCCCCCTTTTTCCCTCTCTCCTCTTTCTCTCTTGTCTTTCTCTCCCCTCTCTTTGCTCTCCCTCACTCTCTTCCCTCTCTTTCTCCATCTGTCTCTTCTCCCTCTCCCCCTTCTCTCTCTCTTCCCTCTTATCCTGTCTCCTCTCTTTCTCTTTCTCCCTCACTCTCTCTCCCACTCTCTCCACTCATTCACCTCCCTCTATCTCATCTTCTCTCTATCCCTCTCCATCTATCCCTCTCTCCTTTCCTCTCCTTCTGACCCTGTCTCCTCTCTCTCCCTATCTAGCCCTCCTCTCTCCTTTACCCCTTTCTTCTCTCTCTCCTCCCTCTTTATCTCCTCTCTTTCTCTCTCCATTATTGTCCTCCCTTTCTCTCTGTCTCCTGTCTCTCCTCTTCCTCTCTCTCGCTCTCTCCCCTCGCTGTCTTTCTTCCCTCTCTCCTCTCTCTCTCGCTCTCTCTCCCTTTCTCTTTCCTCTCTTTCTCTACCCCCCTCCTCTCTCTCTCCTCTCCTTCTGTCCCCTCTTCTCTCTCTCCATCTCTATCTTCTCCTCTTCTCTCCCTAATCTCTCTTTGTTTACACTCCCTCTCTGTCTTTCTCTCTCTCCATCCCTCTCCATCTATCCCCTCTCTCCTTTCCTCCCCTTCTGATCCCCTCCTCTCCCACTCCCTCTCTCCTGTCTTTCTCCTTCTCTCACTTTCCTCCCTCTCTCTGTCTCTTCTCCCTCTCCCCTTCTCTCTCTCCTCTCCCTCACTCTCCCCTCCTTCCCTCTTTGTCTCTCTCCATCTCTCTCTTCCCCCCTTCTCTCCCTAACCCCTTTTGTTCACACTCTCTCCCTCTCTCTCTCTTTCCACCCCCCCTCTCTCTCCTGTCCCCTCCTTCTCTTCTCTCTCATCTCCTCTCCACTTTCCTCCACTCTCTGTCTCTCCCTCTCCTTCCTCTTTCTCTCTCTCCCTATCCACTCTCTCTCTCCATTCTCTCCCTCTCTTCTCCCTCTTTCTCTCCCTATCTTTCTCTCCTCTCTCTGTCTCTCTCTGTCTCCCCTCTCATTCTTTCTCTCTCACACACTTTTCTCCCTCCCTCTCTGTCTCTTCTCCCCCCTCCTCTCTTTCTCTCCTCTCTCTGTCTCTCTTTCTCTCCCTCTCCTCTCTCTTTCTCTCTCTCTTCATTCACTCTCTCCCTCTCCATCTCCTCTTTCTCCCTCTCCTCTCACTTTCTCTCTCCTCTCTCTCTTTCTCTTCTCTTCTCTCCTCTCTCTTCTCTCTCTCTCTCTCTCTCTTTCTCTTTCTCCCTCTCCTCTCTCTTTCTCCCTCTCCTCTCACTTTCTCTCTCTTTCTCTTTCTCTTTCTCCCTCTCCTCTCTCTTTCTCCCTCTCCTCTCACTTTCTTTCTCTCCTCTCTCTCTTTCTCTCTCTCTCTCTTTCTCTTTCTCCCTCTCCTCTCTCACTTTCTCTCTCTCCCTCTCCTCTTTCTCTTTCTCTCTCTCCTCTCTCACTTTCTCTCTCTCCCTCTCCTCTTTCTCTTTCTCCCTCTCCTCTCTCACTTTCTCTCTCTCCCTCTCCTCTTTCTCTTTCTCCCTCTCCTCTCTCACTTTCTGTCTCTCCCTCTCCTCTCTCTCTTTCTCTTTCTCCCTCTCCTCTCTCACTTTCTCTCTCTCCCTCTCCTCTCTCTCTTTCTCCCTCTCCTCCCCCTCCTCTCTCTCTCTCTCGCTCTCTCTCTTTCTTTCTCCACATTATCAGTTCTTACATAACTTCAGATTTTAACTTTTTTTTGTCGCTGTTTTGTTTTAAAATTTAGTAAAAAAAAAAAAAAAAAAAAAAAAACATTCTGAACTCGACAAACAGAAAATTACATAACTCTCTTCTCTCTCTCTTCTCTCCTCTCCCTCGCTTCTTGAAGAATAAAGTCAATCTTTTCTTCCTCTCCACACATCCCTCCATCCCTCTTCTCTCTCTTCACTTTCTCCTCTGTCTCCTTAACGTGTCCCTCTCTCCTCCTCTCTTTTTCTCTCTTCTCTCCTCTCCTCCTCTTCCCTCCCTCCCTCTCTCTCTCTCTCTCTCTCTCTCTCTCCTCCACAGGTCTCTCCTCTGTCCTCGCTCGCCCCCTCCACCTCTCCTTTCAGACGTCTGTTTTCAGCTGTTTGGTGGAATTCACTCCATCCTCCTACACGCTTTATTTTTCCTCCTACCTCCTCCTCCTCCTCCTCTCTTCCTTCCCTCCTCATCTCCATCTATTGCATCCCCCTCTCCTCTTCTTCTCTCCTCCTCCTCTCTCTCTCCTCTTGTTCTGTCCTCCTCTCTCTCTCTGTCTTTCCTCCTTTCCTGTCCTCCACTTCTGTCCTCCTCTCTCTCTTCTCATCTTCTCTCCCTCTTCTCCTTTCACTCTTTCCCTGTAGTAAGAATATTCATCCTCCCTCCTCCTCCCCCTTCCCTCTCTCCTCCTCCCTCTCTCCCTGTCCTCCTTCTCTTCCTCTCCCTTCTTCCTCCTCTCCTGTCTCCTCTCTCCTTCTCCCTCTTTCCTCTCCTCCCTCCCTCACTCTTCTCTCCTCTCCTCCTACTTATATCCTCTCCTCCCTCTCTCCTCTCCTCCTTCTCTCTCCTCTCTCTCCTCCTCCCTCTTTCTTCTTCCTCCTCCTCTCCTCCTCCCTCTCTCCTCTGCTCCCTCACTCCTCTCTCCTCCTATTTATATCCTCTCCTCCTCCCCCCTCTCTCTTCTTCCTCCTCCTCTCCTTCTACCTCTATCCTCTCCTTTCCCTCTCCTCCCTCCCTCTCTCTCTCCCCCCCTCCCTCTCTTCTCTCCCTCTCCTCCCTCTCTCCTCTCTCTCCTCCTCCCTCTCTCTTCTTCCTCCTCCTCTCCTCTCCTCCCTCCCTCCCTCTCTTCTCTCCCTCTCCTCTCCTCCCTCTCTCCTCTCTCTTCCCTCTCTCCTCTCCCTCTCCTCTCCTCCCTCCCTCTCTCCTCTCCTCCTCTCCTCCCTCCCTTCTTCCTCTTGTGTGGTGGAATTCCGGGGACTTACTTCCCGAGCTCCTCGTAGAGCTGGTACTCCTCGGTGAAGCGCGTGCAGATGACCGTTGCCATGGCGCCGGCGGCTGGGGTCAGGGGCGGCGGGGGCGGCTGGGGTCCGGTCTGGGTCCGGTCTGGGTCCGGTCTGGGCTCGGTGCGGCTCGGTCCGGCTCGGTTCGGCTCCTCTTCGGCTTTGGGAGTCCGTGTGGAAGTGAATGAGCCCGAAAGGAAACACGGGGCAGATATGAGACGCGCGGCCAGCCCACTCCGCCCCCGCATGGCCAATCGCTGCGCGGGGAGACGCTGATGGACGGGACGCGCGGCCAATTGCTGAGAGGAGGGCACAGAAGGCAACGTCGTCATGGCAACTGCTGCTCAGAACACAGCGAGCCTCAGCCAAGAACTCAACCAGGACTTAAACAGGACTAAAACAAGACTAAACCAAGAACTCAACCAGGACTTAAACAGGACTAAACCAGGACTAAACCAAGAACTCAACCAGGACTAAACCAAGAACTCAACCAGGACTTAAACAGGACTAAACCAGGACTAAACCAAGAACTCAACCAGGACTTAAACAGGACTAAACCAAGAACTCAACCAGGACTTAAACAGGACTAAACCAAGAACTCAACCAGGATTTAAACAGGACTAAAACAGGACTAAACCAAGAACTGAACCAGGACTTAAACAGGACTAAACCAGGACTAAACCAAGAACTCAACCAGGACTTAAACAGGACTAAACCAGGACTAAACCAAGAACTCAACCAGGACTTAAACAGGACTAAACCAAGAACTCAACCAGGACTTAAACAGGACTAAACCAAGAACTCAACCAGGATTTAAACAGGACTAAACCAAGAACTGAACCAGGACTTAAACAGGACTAAACCAGGACTAAACCAAGAACTCAACCAGGACTTAAACAAGACTAAACCAGGACTAAACCAAGAACTCAACCAGGACTTAAACCAGGACTAAACCAAGAACTCAACCAGGACTTAAACAGGACTAAACCAAGAACTCAACCAGGACTTAAACAGGACTAAACCAGGACTAAACCAAGAACTCAACCAGGACTTAAACAGGACTAAACCAAGAACTCAACCAGGACTTAAACAGGACTAAACCAAGAACTCAACCAGGATTTAAACAGGACTAAAACAGGACTAAACCAAGAACTCAACCAGGACTTAAACAGGACTAAACTAGGACTAAACCAAGAACTCAACCAGGACTTAAACAGGACTAAACCAAGAACTCAACCAGGACTTAAACAGGACTAAACCAAGAACTCAACCAGGACTAAACCAGAACTAAACCAAGAACTCAACCAGGACTTAAACAGGACTAAAACAGGACTAAACCAAGAACTCAACCAGGACTTAAACAGGACTAAAACAGGACTAAACCAAGAACTCAACTAGGACTAAACCAGAACTAAACCAAGAACTCAACCAGGACTTAAACAGGACTAAACCAAGAACTCAACCAGGATTTAAACAGGACTAAAACAGGACTAAACCAAGAACTCAACCAGGACTTAAACAGGACTAAAACAGGACTAAACCAAGAACTCAACCAGGACTTAAACAGGACTAAACCAGGACTAAACCAAGAACTCAACCAGAACTTAAACAGGACTAAACCAGGACTAAACCAAGAACTCAACCAGGACTTAAACAGGACTAAACCAGGACTAAACCAAGAACTCAACCAGAACTTAAACAGAACTAAACCAGGACTAAACCAAGAACTCAACCAGGACTTAAACAAGACTAAACCAGGACTAAACCAAGAACTCAACCAGGATTTAAACAGGACTAAACCAGGACTAAACCAAGAACTCAACCAGGACTTAAACAGGACTAAACCAAGAACTCAACCAGGACTTAAATAGGACTAAACCAGAACTAAACCAAGAACTCAACCAGGACTTAAACAGGACTAAACTAGGACTAAACCAAGAACTCAACCAGAACTTAAACAGGACTAAACCAGGACTAAACCAAGAACGCAACCAGGACTTAAACAAGACTAAACCAGGACTAAACCAAGAACTCAACCAGGATTTAAACAGGACTAAACCAGGACTAAACCAATAACTCAACCAGGACTTAAACAGGACTAAACCAAGAACTCAACCAGGACTTAAACAGGACTAAACCAGGACTAAACAGAGAACTCAACCAGGACTTAAGCAGGACTAAACCAGGACTAAACCGAGAACTCAACCAGGAGTAAACCAGGAACTCAACCAGGATTAAACCAAGAACTCAACCAGGACTAAACCAAGAACTCAACCAGGACTAAACCAAGAACTCAACCAGGACTTAAGCAGGACTGAACCAGGACTAAACCAGGATTAAACCAAGAACTCAACCAGGACTTAAGAAGGACTAAACCAGGACTAAACCAAGAACTCAACCAGGACTAAAACGGACGTGTTGTCACTGTTTAAAATGATACAATATTTTAAAAAAATAAAATAATAAACTCTGTCTGACTAAACCAGGATTAAACCAAGAACTCAACCAGGACTTAAACAGGACTAAACCAGAACTAAACCAAGAACTCAACCAGGACTTAAACAGGACTAAACCAGGACTAAACCAAGAACTCAACCAGAACTTAAACAGGACTAAACCAGGACTAAACCAAGAACGCAACCAGGACTTAAACAGGACTAAACCAGGACTAAACCAAGAACTCAACCAGGACTTAAACAAGACTAAACCAGGACTAAACCAAGAACTCAACCAGGATTTAAACAGGACTAAACCAGGACTAAACCAAGAACTCAACCAGGACTTAAACAGGACTAAACCAAGAACTCAACCAGGACTTAAACAGGACTGAACCAGGACTAAACCAGGATTAAACCAAGAACTCAACCAGGACTTAAGAAGGACTAAACCAGGACTAAACCAAGAACTCAACCAGGACTAAAACCAGGACTAAAACGGACGTGTTGTCACTGTTTAAAATGATACAATATTTTAAAAAAATAAAATAATAAACTCTGTCTCTGTGTGATCGTCCCACTGCGCCCTCTCCTGGTCAGCGCAGGAACCACACACAGCTGCTCCGCTCCAGTCCACGCCAATCCGCTCCGGTCCACACCAATTCGCTCCGGTCCAACCCAATCCGCTCCGGTCTGCTCCAAACAAAATCTGCACAAAAAAATAGAATAAATAAATAAATAAAATGACGAACGGTAAAGCTGCACTATGTCACATTTTATTCACGAGTAACTTCAAATATACATGAAACAAGTTGGGCAATAACAAAAATATAAAAAGATAATGTTCTAATTCCACTGAAAGGGTGAAATAAAGAGAAAATGTAAATAAAAATAATAATAAGAAGAATAAAAACACATAGAATACTACGGCTGGTTTATGGAGCAAGAAAGATTCAGAAATATTCATGTGCATAGGACAGAAAAACTTGTATATTTGATTCAGTCCTGGTTTAGTCCTGGTTCAGTCCTGGTTTAATCCTGGTTTAGTCCTGGTTTAGTCCTGATTCAGTCCTGGTTCAGTCCTGGTTTAATCCTGGTTTAGTCCTGGTTTAGTCCTAGTTCAGTACTGGTTTAGTCCTGGTTTAGTCCTAGTTCAGTCCTGGTTTAGTCCTGGTTTAGTCCTGCTTCAGTCCTGGTTCAGTCCTGGTTTAGTCCTAGTTCAGTCCTTGTTTAATCCTGGTTTAGTCCTGGTTTAATCCTGGTTTAGTCCTGGTTCAGTCCTGGTTTAGGCCTGGTTCAGTCTTTGTTTAGTCCTGGTTTAGTCCTTGTTTAGTCCTGGTTTAGTCCTAGTTCAGTCCTAGTTTGGTCCTGGTTTAGTCCTGGTTCTGCTGTTAAATTCACTAATATTATAACGAAATATTTTGAAGTGAAAGTAAAAAGTAATAAATAAATAACTAGTTGCAGTTTTGAAGTAGTGATCATATTTTATTTTTGCCGTTGAATTTGACATTTTCACTGATTTTATTTATTTATTTATTTTTTTTTTATTTACATTTTTCTGGCGTTTTTTTCCCGCCGCCGCACGCGGGCAGCAGAGCTCTTTTTGACCCCGGAAGCGGAAATCGGTCCTTTTCTGTTTCTGCTTGGTAAAGAGACACTCAGAGGTACGTCAGGCTCGGGCCAAAATCCGCTTAAATCTGCTTCTTTTTCTGCCCATCAGCGTCCTGCCACTGCATCACTTTAATTTAACATTTATAACGCGACGGATCCGTGTGAAATTGCGAGATTTGGACTCGGAACATGTAGAGTTTTGATCGGGTTTGTGTCGGTTCTGGCCGCATCCAAAGAGCCGCCATCTTAGCTCCCCGCTCCACATTTCCTCTTCATTTTCTTCATAAATTCGCCGTTACGCTTCACAAACTCGCATTACATAAACTCTGAATCGTTGCCTCTTGAATAACCCGGTGTAAAGTCTCCAGAAAACATCGTAAATTGAATCAAATCTCGCTCCGTGTTGGGTAAAGTGTCAGCGGGCAGTGGAGCCTCCGCACGCCGCAGGTTCGGTCCGATGTTCGGCTTGAATTTGCGTTTCTACACCGCAGATTCACACAAACCCGCGAGGTTTGTTTTTTCTCGATAAATGTTCCGTGGTGGAGCTTTAGTGCTGTTATTCCACCGGGTTTGTGCGGGTCCCGGGTTTAACCATGTGCTGCAGCGAAGAGGGGCCGGGGCTTTTCTGCTCTAAACTCTACTTTTTTTATTCATTTCCTTTATTTTAATGTCTTTATTGTGTTTAAATGTGACCAATTTAGAAGTGAGATTTTGTCGTACTTTTTTAATTGCTGAGGTTTCCTGTCAGGTCAGTGCATGATCACGTGGACAGACGTGAAAATCTGTTGATCATAATTACCGTATTTTTTGGACTATAAATCGCACCAGGCGCCCCCCCCCCCCCCCCAAAAAAGCGTGATGTATAAAAAAAACCATAAGGCGGGGGTGTCAAACTCAAATTCAGAGGACCAAAGTTAAAAACAGACTGTTGTGGGCCAAACTAAATATTTGTTGAAAAATTTGAGTATCTGCATGGGGTGTGCATTGCCTTGAGTCTGATGATACAATACGTGTCATGATATGCATGTCACAATTCAATATATCCCGATATATCCCAGTACTAAAACATGATATATTGTGATTTATCAGTAATTACTTCTATTAATACAATCAGCTGCTACTTCACGAGAACACACTTGTATGAAATATAATTTATAAAAATGTTTAAATGATCAGAACAGTGAATGTAAATAATGAAATTTTGTGAAGAATATTTTAAAAATCGATTCAGATGCATTTTGAATCAATTTGAGAATTGTGTAATGAAGTATCACAATATATCACTGAATCGATTATTTATATATTTTTTTTCCCCCTTACAGCCCTAATCTGCATGTTTTCTCTTTCAAAATATGTAATTTTTTCTTACTAAAATGTTTTAGTTTTTGTTTAAACACTGAATTCAGAAGAAGCATAATAAAATTTTAGATGTCTATAATCTTGTTGTTAGATCAGCTCTAATATAGATTTGATATGATCTTGCGGGCCAAATATAATATATTGTGGGCCAAATTTGATCCCCAGGCCAGAGTTTTAAATGTCTGATTTAAGTCTACGTTTATATGATGAGGGTCTGAACAGAAGACTCAAAAGCGGTGTTGCGTCTTCACTTTTTATTCCGCGTTTAGATATTTAGAAATGCATCCATACGGTGACTTAAGTGTTCTCCAGGTCTTGTCCAGATCTGTCTGACTCGACTGAGACGACCTGGTGCGTCCAGAATCTGACAGAGGTGATTACAGATCCTTCTCTGGTCACTTAAAGTATTTCTGCAGATTCTCCACATTTATTGTTTTGTAAGTTTGTTAGAGCTGCCAGAGCAACTTGAAGGTCCGACGCCTGGAAATGATCCACATGTTTGTTTTTGTGTCCTGTATGTTTGTGACATAAACTTGTACACGACCTGAGCAGATCTGACCAGAGTTTTGTGTCTTGGGCAGTGTAGATGGAAACACTACCGCGGAACCTATTCAACTTTTCCACTCTGGAGGTGGTTTTACATTTTTGCTTTAAGCCCCAAAAACGCCATCACTGTCTAAACGAATGACATTTCTGATAAAATATTTTGTTTTTTTTACCCACAAGTGTTCTCGTTAAACAGACCCCCACTTTTCTTGCATTTTCTCAGACTTCACTTTGGATTGGGAGAAGGGCGAAGCCGCAGTCTGAGATTGTCGTTTGCTGTGGTCTGTTTTTCTCTGAGCGTCTGTTTTGACTTTCAGACATGGCTCCACGTAAAGGGAAGGAGAAGAAGGAGGAGCAGGTGATCAGCCTGGGCCCTCAGGTCGCAGAAGGAGAGAACGTGTTCGGAGTCTGCCACATCTTCGCCTCTTTCAACGACACCTTCGTCCACGTCACCGACCTGTCCGGAAAGTACGTACCTGCGAGGTTGAGAGGAGAAGGTCAGATGGAGCAGGAGTTTTACCTGTTGTTGTTGTTTCCAGGGAGACGATCTGCCGTGTGACCGGTGGGATGAAGGTGAAGGCCGACAGAGACGAGTCTTCTCCATACGCCGCCATGTTGGCCGCTCAGGACGTGGCCCAGCGCTGCAAAGAGCTCGGCATCACCGCCCTGCACATCAAGCTGAGGGCCACCGGGGGCAACAGGTCAGAACCACAAAAGAACCGACTAAACACAGCGAATCTGTTTTACACCCTCCGTTTACTGTTCTAACTCTGCTCCCTACTCAAAAACAGACCTGGAGTTTTGCTTCATTCACGTTTGAGTAACACTTATTAGTGAAGTGGTTGTAGGGTTGTGAAAAATACTGATATTAAGGATGGGCATGATTAGTCAACTAATTGATAATCGATCATTAATAATTTTGTGGATTACGTTCATTTTTAACCGACAAACCGAATGTAGGTTTCTGTGTGTAGATACGACGCTGCGTCTGACACAAACACTGGGGTTGTGTCTCAGTTCCACATTTGGGCTCTGGCTCTTCCTCGGAGACACTGTTCCAGTGTGTTTACATGAACATCAGTGTCCCGGTTTCGTCATGTTGCATGTAAACGCAGCATCCCGGTTACTGTGACATAAAGAGCTGCGGTAAACCTGCACATGTACAATCTTTGAAAACATCGACACACACACAGAACAGACTCAGCATCATCATCACCCCTCTGTCACAGAGAGAACACTCATATTCCACTGAGTTGTGTCCTTTAGTCAGACAGCTGAACCATTGTCACTGTCAGCATTTTTGTGTTTTACCATGTTTGTTACACAACATAGCGATATGGCACCTGTTATAGGAGCGTCTGGAACCGATCAAGTGGTTGAGCGCGTTCATGCGCTGCAGTAAAGAGCAGCGTTTGTTACTTCAAACCAGGTCTTGATGGGAAAATGTGCGGGATACATTTGGATTATTTTTCAGTGGGGAAATAATACGCCACGATAAAGAAGGTTGGGAGTGAATGGAAGCGAGAGGACACGCCCCCCCATGCTTCCAGATGTGGCCCCGCCTTTACCAGTTACGCTGATCGTCAGACAATCCGGAACACCAGCAGAAGACTCAGTGCTGCGCAGCATCCGGCGTCAATGGGTTAAGAGACGACAGTAAATCGAGCTGGTATCATTAAGAGGTTGCCGATACGATACACACCTCAATACAGTGATCTTACGATTCAATACGATTCAGTTCGATGTATTTCAGTTTGATTTGATACGGTTCAATAAAAAAAAAAGGTTAAATTGTAGCTGTGATAATAAAAGTCTTTGTTGCACTACTTCTACAAAGTTCATATAAAACAAAAACATTTTAATCGTCAAAACAGTGAAAATGTCAAATGTGTCGAATAAACAAGTTTCATTCGTCTAAATGAGCAACAAAACTGTAGCTGTAACAAAATATTAGTAAAATATATAAAAAAAAATACTCTTAGAGATGTATCAATACAGCAGCCCAACAATATCGATACTGTATCATAAAATTTAACGATACGATATATCAATATTTTAATATTTTTGCTTCTAACAGTAAATGCACTGACAGGATTTTGAATGTTTTAAAAAAAAACTATAATCCCAAACCATAAAGTGAGAGGAAAGAGTTCACATTTCAGATTTAGACCTAAAAGATTGATCAGTTCTACACATGTTGGTGCTGAAATGTTTTGAAGTTTTGTCAGTGAAAGTGTGGGAACCTGATTCATCCATCAGGTTTTTTTTTTTTTGAATAGAAAAGTCTCACCCAGCAGAGCCAGAGCTTTTTACAAGTGTTGTATTGTGACATGGTGTTTGGTGTTTGGCAGCAAACTGTGATTAAGTTTTAGTTTTTTATGAATTATTTTCTTTGTAATTAATCATAATTATCGTGTTAATGTCCCGCCCCCACTAAAAAGTAAAGTGAAAGAAAGGAAAAATAAAAGATTTCTGATTTTTAACTTGTTAATGAAAATCTGAATCTTCCTAAGATGAGCTGAATGACTTGTTTTAGTGAAACTGTAAGATCCTTTTAGATTTTATTAAACATTTAAAACGCTTTTCCCCAATTTGGCATTTTTTTAATTAAATTACTGCATATATATATATATATATATAAATAATATATGAACAACTTTGAACAAACATGAACAGTACAGATTGAGTTTATTGCGGTGGGACGAAATTTCCACAATGAGATTGGAACTATGAGAACGAGACGAGATTTTTACACTATTTTTGATTTACTTAAATATTTTGACTGTAATTGTTGCTCTGCTTTTCAGGACAACAGCTCCTCAAAAAATGTTACTCACCAGTACTTGACTCATTGTTATTCCATACGTTTTTATGTTTAGAAAAAAAAAAAAAAAAAATCATTTATAATTTTGTGAGTGTGGCACTGTCTCGTGTCAGTTTTGTGGCACAAGATCTTGTCCATCCGTTTTCTAAAGATTTAAAGTTAATATTGTAAATTGCATCTGAATTGAAACATTAGGATCTGGATTATTCCTCTGAGCGCGAGTAACTCATACAATATTTCCACATAAAATGAGAACATTTAAATTGTGTATTTTTATATATTTGGTTTTGGGAAAAACAGAGTAATATTAGGTTTAAAACTGTTTCCTGGTGGGGAATTCTATAACTCACCCAACAACCATATGCCGCAGTAAACTCCTCATGTACACAGATTATTATTTGACACATGAACAAATGGTTAATGCTTTTTATATTTGGTTTTGTTTAAGAATAAATCGTCATCAGAATGTGAATCTGTAAAAGCTACTCTTGATTTGAAGCGGTTTTCCTCGTGTTTGGGCACAGATGCATCAAGTAAAAGTTTAAACTAATTTAAGGTGATTTCTGATCTGTTTCCTCGTCACAAACGTCCTAAATGTGCAGATTTGTGTGTTTTAATGTTTGTGTGAAACTCCAGGTCTGTTTTTTTGAGGGAACATTAGAACACAACTTGAATGTCCCAGTGTAGTGAAACAGGTGGTGTGGGGGTGTGTGCGGTTTCTCGTTTGGTCCAATAATCATTTGTGTGTGAACAGCGCCCTCTGCTGTTTTTTTTTTTTTTGTCGAGTGCAGTTTTTAAGTGTTTTTGTTTTTTGTTCAGGACAAAGACCCCCGGCCCTGGAGCCCAGTCTGCCCTCAGAGCTCTGGCCCGATCAGGCATGAAGATCGGACGCATCGGTGAGACTCGACACTGACACACTGAGACACTGAGACTCACTCACACTCAATCACACACACTCACACACGTAAGATGACGTGATTATGAATCTGATGCGTTACATTATAAAGTTTTTAACTGTTTTAGTACATTTGTCCTCTCCTGGATTTTTGTAGTTTTGCTCTTAACTCCCCCTTTTACCCCAGTCTGACTCATTAGCCGGGTTCACTCCATGGAAACATCGGACCTCACAGCAGCAGCAAGTCTTAAAAATGGTCATTAGAATTGGATCTCGTGTGTTTCGCCTTCATACTGGGTGCGATGTTAGACTTTAGGATCTTTTTAAGACCAATTAAATGTAAATTAAGACCTAGAATGACTTCTCTCGACAGTAGGCGGGTACTTTTTAATCATTTAATCAATCGCTGCCGTTTGGTCATGACGTATGTAACGTGTCACTAACGAGGTTAACTGGTATATTAAACTCTTCCCAAATCCCGTTGGAAGAAGGACAATAACATTTTTCTCCTTGATCAACTTCACCAAACATTCTCTTTGTTCTGGCTTTAAATTCTCGATCTTGGGAATCATTAACACAGAATGTCTGACTCTTGCCTCTTCTCTGATTGGCTGTTGCCACCCATATTGGGTGGTGTCCAAATGTTGATACTGTTAAACCTTTTCAGGATTTTACCAGGGTTTACAGGATCACCATATGACCAAAATGTTTTAGTCTGACTTTGGTAAACTATGAAGCTGCACAGTCTGTGTACGACCTGAAAAGATTCACATCAACCATCTCCAACACGACAGACACAGAACAGACTCGCCATCAGAACACCCCTCTGTCACAGAGAGAACACTCATATTCCACTGAGTCGTGTCCTTTAGTCCAACAGAAGCTGAACCACATCAGCGCACAAGGAAAGAACTGTTTTTATCACACACATTAGTTTATGTAAATGAGTCATGTGGTTTTTAGTTTTTTCTGTAAAACAAAAACAAATGTGTGTGAAGGTAAAATGCTGCCAAATTGTAGAAGCTTGCAGCCCGACTTGTCATCTTGTCTCTTATGAGCATCATGTGACAACAGAACAAAACTAATCAAATGTCGTCTCCCCACACAGTTAAAGAAACATTATAGACACTATTAGTTTTAAATCTTGATAGATTAAACTCATAATACAACCACACATCTGTGCTGAGCAAACAAATGTAGGGATCAATAAATTATAATATGACTGTAATGAAACTGATACTTTGATACTGTATGTTCCGCCCAACCCCAGTCTGTTGTATTTGGAGTCCTGATCTAATCACTGGAGAGAAATGAAATTGAGCAGAGACACGAGGTGGCACCAGCCTGACTAACAACTTAACTTTTCAAGGGAAAATGTTTTTTTTTCTTTTATGGTTGAAGTTCTGTGTGGTTATATTAAACATATTCTTGTTGGTCTGAGTGAAACACCAGAGAACTTGATGGTTCTAGTGAACGCAACGTACAAAAGGAAACAACTGGACTGACCTTGTGCGTGGTTTTTTTCTACAGAGGACGTGACCCCGATCCCGTCAGACTCGACCCGGAGGAAGGGAGGACGCAGAGGAAGACGTCTGTAGACATGTGGACATATTCACCAAATAAAACTTTTGACAATAAAATCTTGTGCTGTTTTCATTTCACCTTCAGTTTTTGTGTACTTTTACACGTGTGCGCACTGTGTTGTGTCGGGACGGTGTTCTATACAACAAAATAATTTAATACAGACGGAGAGAAAAGCTCAAATGAGAATTGAACAGTTTTGTACTACAGCACGGTCTGGGGTCTAGACACAAATTATCTGATTCATAACAAAAGTGCAATGTGATCAATTATGGAATAAATTTTGTCAGTTGAAAATTTTTTTTAAAACAAAAAAAATATTTGATCGAAATTAAATCAAGTGTACTCATAATCTGATTCTCATTTGACTTTTTGGTTTCAGGTTTAGCACAGACATGACAGGTGGGCGGGGCTTCTGTGGGTGCATTCTTATTGACAGCTGAGCTTGACTTAAACTGTTGGTTTTGATGCTCAAGAGTTTTTCTAAAAAGCCTCGCTCAATTCAATGCAGCCCGGCCTTCAACACTGCCCTCTGGTGGACGCCTGTAAGAAGTCATTTGTAAAATGTGATTTGCATTTGAGGATCAACAAGAAAAACAGAATATTCAGTTTTACTTTTTTTTTTGCTAATGAAAAAATATTTACAAATAAATTTATTAATAAATTTGTATTTATGGATCAAAACATGAATAAACCAGTGATTGTCTATCACCCTCTGTGCTTTTGAGAACATTAAGTCCCTGTTTTCACGTACACAGGTATTTTTAAAAACACTTTTGACTTTTACACACAAATGGCAAATTCACCTCTGGAAAATAATCTTTCTAAAAACTCCGGCTCGAGTGGAGATTCTGGAGAACTAGTTTGGTGTTTGTGTGTAAAGTGAAAGAAATGGAGTTAGGAGCTGATGTTCTAAAAGTGTGACCAGTGTTTTCCTTTTGCTCTTGATGATGATGATGATGATGATGTCGTCCTTCTGACGTGATCCGGCTCCACCAGTCCTGTCTCGGGACTTTGATCCACGTCTCTTTGGATTTGTGAGCGGGATGTGGGAGTGAGCTGAGAGTTTGTCTTCTTCCTCCTTCTCCGACACTCTTCTCTTCTCCTCCTCAGCTCACAGATGTAAAGTGTGATGAGACAATTCTCCAGCTGCTGCTTCACAATTATCATCAGAACCACTGCGGGAAAAGTTTGGACTGTGTTTGTGTTCGTGGAGGAACGACAAACCCAGACGACAAAAAAGCCTGGAGCAGCTGAAGTGTGTGTTTTCTTCACAGAGACGTAAATCCATTGGCGTCTCTGTCCAATCAGAACCTTCCCCACCCCCAGACACTCTATCTACCTTAAATAAAAAACATTTAACCAGTTTAATGCAGAAACAACAATTCAGAATTCCAAACTATTTAATTCAGAACAATTAATTTGGAATTTAAATAACATGTAAACGTGGCCGGTGTGATGTCTTTGTGGGGCTCGCTGAAACAGAACTCTACATTCTGTTTCATTTTCAACACGTTTGTTGACTTTTCTCCACTAATTTCTTCTTGATTTGTGTGAAACTCTTATTTATATTTACAGCAGGTTTGATCAGAACAAATGAGAGAATCGTCAAAACTTGTCACAGACACTTTAATGTTCAGATCTGGATTTAGGGAGAAACTGTTGAAGTCAAAAGTCCAGGATGGAGCGGAGCGAGTTCAGACCGACTGGTGAAGGTCAGAGTGAGGAGCAGCAGCAGCAGAACAGAACTCTGAGTCTGAACATGAACCCGAGACGCCAACAGATCTTTTTCACCATGTCCAGAAGTGTCCCGCTCTAAGTCCGCAGAACTTCAGTTAAATGTTTTTCTCTGTCTAATTGTGTGTGTAAATTAGGGTGACCATATTTCCGTTTGTGAAAACCCGGACACCTGGGGGGGAGGGGATTTTTTGTGTGCAATTTTGCATGTTTTTTTGTTTTTGTTTTTTTTTAACAGCGTATGAATGTGTATTGTGTATTACAGGCGGGTAGTAATTACACACGGGTGGGTCAGGACTAAACCAGGTCTAAACCAGGTCTAAACCAGGACTAATCTTAAAACTTAAGAGAGAGAACGCCGAGCAGTTTGTCCACAAAGCGCGATCGGGCAATTGCCGCTTTTAACGCACGTGAGGTGCAGAGCTGAGCCGGTCCTTTCTCCTGCGGTCACCTCCAAGCCCGTCCCGACAGTGAGTCCTGTTTCAGTTCTGGTTTAGTCCTGGTTTAGTCGTCCTCTTCAGTCCTGGAATCAATCCTGGGTTAGTCCTGGTTTACTCTCGGTTCAGTCCGTGTCGTAGGCAGAGCAAAAGTTTGATATAATCTCGGGTTAACGGGCAGGTGCGGTCCTGTACTGGCGGGTGCGGTGTTGTACTGGGGGTCTCCAAAAATTGATCCGTGCGGGACTCTGCACTGTTGGGCTCCATTACGGAATAAATGAATCTTCAGTTCGTTACATAAAGAAGGAGGAAAATAACACAAGGACGACAGCAGCAACAAGTTTTAAGAAGGAAGTAAAAAGGGTTGCACCTGTCCTGTGTGAGAAAAGTGTATAAAGTGTGTGGTGAGGGGTTTTACTGCCTTAACACAGATAGAATAATTGTAAAATATAAAGTTGACTACTTCGCGGATTTCACCTATCGCCTGTTATTTTTAGAATGGAACTCCGCGATAAACGAGGGACACTGTACTCTCACCTCACAACCTGTGCACATGGACTCACACTTGTCCTGACCGAGATGGAAAACAGAGAATTTCTTGTACAAGTCATTGTTAAATGCACTTTTGTGCTTCGGTGTGTTGCAGACTGACCGACTGTTTGTGTCTCGCTCCTTCTGAGTCACAGAGAACTAAGAGAGACGCTCAGTTTAATGCCCCCAATGAACGGTACTGAAAACCCGGACATTTGCATCACTTAAAAAAAAAACCCCGGATGCCCCGGACATGACGCAAAATACGGACATGTCCGGGGAAAAACGGACGTTTGGTCACCCTACTGTAAATGTGTGAGTAAATGTGTGTGTAAATGTGTGTCGTATTCTTCAGCAGCTTCATAAATCTTCAACCCACAAACTTCACAAAGGAGAAACATTCTAACATGAAGAATTTATCCACAACTATCAAGAGAAAAAAGAACAAAACTTAAAGGAAACAACGAGCCACATTAGTCACACAACAAACTCAATTCATGTTCTGGTCCTGGAGACTCAAACTGCACAAATCTCTCCAACTATCCAAATATCTACATCATCAAATCCATTTTTAATTTAAATTGTAGAATCAGTCTGAGTGAACAAGTTCCTTCTGTTTTCTTCATGACCATAACGTTAGTTTTACTACACTGAAAATAAAAAAAAAGATAAGTTAAAATGACTTAAATTAAGAACATTTGACTTTAATCGAGTCGATTCAACTTGACAAGTCAAATGATCCACCAATGGAACAAGGGAGTTTTTTTTTAAATTCAAACAACATTCAATTTTGTTTCTTATTTTAAGTGCAAAAAGTTGTTTTTCTTATTTTAAGTGCAGTAAGATGTATTTTCACGTTTTAAATAAAAAAGTTTTGCTCTACTGGCAGATCATTTTCAGATTCATCAGTCGGTTTCACTTTGTAGAAACTGTGTGACAGGATGTGACAGGCATTAGGAGTCGTTCACTCAACAGTAGGTGAGTACTTTTTTTATTTAATCAGTCGCTGCTGTTTGGTCGTGAAGTTTGTAATGCTCCAAATCCCGTAGGAAGAAGAACAATAACATCTTTCCCCGAGATCAAATTCACCAAACATTCTCTTTGTTCCGGCTTTAAATCCTCGATCTCGGGAATCGTCGACAACACAAAATGTCTAACTCTTCTCTGATTGGTTGGTCGACAACTTCCGAGGGTTTTGCGAACCATCTAGTCCAGGGCTGTCAAACATACGGCCCGGGGGCTGGATCCAGCCCTCCAAGACCTTTAATCTGGCCTTCATCTGATTTTCTACTAAAATATTTGAATGATATTTTCTATTAAAATATTGGTAATTTTCTGCAGTGCTTATCACAGCAGTGTCTCTGTACGTGGCCCCTCCCACCAGAGCAGCACAAATGAAGACTTGTCTCTTTCCAAACGCTCTTAAAGGACGATCGTTTTGACTGTTGACCTTGACACCCTCATCAGAAAAATGTCCAACATGAGAAAAGTGGAGCTGAGTGCAGGATTTTACAACATAAATGAACTTATTCCTATTTACATACAAGTTCATGTTAAAACATTGTGTTGAAATTGCATTTTTCTTAAAGTTTCAGGTTGTTCATAATATTATAATATTTTGTAAAAGAAAGAGTTCATCAATTCAAAAAGATTTCTGTAATAGATTTGAATTTCTCTGCACAAATATTTGAACTTATTGTTATTTTTGGGGTTTATATGACATGAGTTTTCTGATCCGGACACTTTGGGATCAAAGTTGGTTGGATACGGCCCCCGGACCAAAATGAGTTTGACACCCCTGATTTAATGTATTTTGATTCCTGACTGAGTCACTGGAGAGAAATGAAACCGAGTGGAGACACAAGGTGGCACCAGACTGACTTAGATCATTTAACTCGTCAGGTGAAATTTACTCAGCTCATGATAAAACTTTCTTAATTCAAGTCGTCTTAACTTGGCTCGATTTTGTTTTGACATGTCATTGTCATTGTTCTTTAAGTTTTGTTCTTTCTTCTCTTGATAGTTGTGGATAAATTCTTCATGTTAGAATATTTATCCTTTGTGGAGTTTGTTGGTTGAAGATTTGGTGATGGGGCAGATTTATGAACACACATTTACACACACATTTACACAGAAAAACATTAACCTAAAGTTCCGCAAAACCTCCAGCTGTTGTGAAAAAGGTGAATCGGAGCGGGTTTAGGAGCTTTGAGGATTTAAACATTTTTAAAAGTTTATTTTGTGAAAATAGAAAAGACTCCAACAAAATCGGACCTCTGTGAAAGCCGGATGCCCCGTCAGAACACGAGCAGCACTGCTGCAGTACCCGGACCGGCCACCAGAGGGGGAGGAGCCTCGCACTCACAAAACGTCCGGTCGTGGTTTTACTCAAACCTCTGGACTCGTCTCAGTCCTGACCGGCTCCTCCTGCTCGAAGGTTTGGTCTGCAGAGTCCTGTCCCGGGTTCGTCCGCTCAGGGTCCTGGTCCTGGTCCTGGTCCTGGTCCGGTCCTTGGGTCAGAGGGCGGAGCTGGTCTGGACTCAGCTTCCTGGTTTCTGCGATGAGCCGCTTGACGCCAACCATCCACTGGCTCACCTCGGTCACGTGATCCACCATCAGAGAGCGGTGAGCCTCGTCTGCCGAGTCCCACAGACCGGACCTGAGATCTGAGGACCACAGACAGTCAGACGCCCTCCCCGAGCGTCAGATGCCCTCCCCGAGCGTCAGATGCCCTCCCCGAGCGTCAGACGCCCTCCCCGTGTGTCAGATTGTGTCAGATGAACTCCCTGACCTGTGGTGAGACTCTTCATCCTCCTCTTCACCGCTGCGCTCAAACGGCCGCTGCTCCAGGACGTCTCCAGGAGCTGCAGCCTCTTCGCCACGTCTCCACAGACCTGCACCTGAAACGACAGCGCCCACCGTGAATCCTCCGCGCCGCCCGACCCTCCTCAGACACCCCGACCCTCCTCTGCACCGCCTGACCCTCCTCTGACCCTCGGTCTCTCGTCTGCGCCGCCCGACCCTCCTCTGACCCTCGGTCTCTCGTCTGCGCCGCTCGACCCTCCTCTGACCCTCCACTGACCCTCCTCTGACCCTCCTCCGCGCCGCCCGACTCATGAAAACTTAACAGAACGCTGCACTTGTGCAAAAGAAAGACTAAAATTCCACGAGTTTTTTCAAAATTTTCATTGAATTTACATGACATTTTCAGTTTCTGTGACTTTTCCAGGATTTCCAGGACCGTGGGAACCCTGTACTCTTTATATATTTATATATTTTCTTTGAGTCTTACGCTGGTGGTTCCGCGACACGCCTCCAGGGCCGCGTTCAGCACTGACATCACTTCCTCCACATCGGGCTCGCGCTCTGATTGGACAGAATCACTCTGAGCTCTGATTGGACCAGAGGTGGGGGGCGGGACCACGGGGCAGCCTATGGGAGGAGGAGCAACTGAAAAAACAAAAACAAACAAAACAAAAAACAAAAAAACGATGTAAAAGTTGTTTTCTGTGTCTGAATATCTCACCCAGCTCCTCCCCCTTTTACCTGGACTGAAGGGGGGCAGGGCTACAGCCCGTCTGGGTGGAGTCAGAGCGGAGGTGGGAGGGGTCATGGGCGGGGTCATGGGAGGGGTTCCTGAACCTGTGGACCAATCAGAGAGCAGATCAGAGTCACATGTGGGTAAATGTTTCATGTTTTTGTAAATCCTCGTTGGTTTGGTGAGAGTTTAACTTCAGCAAAAAAAATTAAAAAAAAAAACTCACTTTCAGGACAAACAAAATCTGTGATATTTTATGTTTTGTTTTTTTTACTCAAAATGATGATCGTGTTATGAACATAAACATAAAGCACAGAACACATGAACCAGAACTAAACCAGGATTAAACCAGGACTAAACCAGGACTAAACCAGGACCAAACCAGGATTAAACCAGGATTAAACCAGGACTGAATCAGGACTAGGCCAGGACTAGACCAGGACTAGACCAGGACTAAAGTCAGATCCAGTAAAGTTCAGTCCCGGTTCAGTCCCGGTTTAGTCCCGGTTCAGTCCCGGTTTAGTCCCGGTTCAGTCCCGGTTTAGTCCCGGTTTAGTCCCGGTTTAGTCCTGGTCCAGTCCCGGTTCAGTCCCGGTTCAGTTCTTGTTCTGACCTGCAGGGGGAGCTCTTCGAGTCAGCAGGTTCCTGTTCGTTCCTCGTGAAGTTTGGAGTCCGTAAGAAAACTGAGGCGGATCGTTCCAGCCGCGCTCCTGATTCCCTGAAGACGACAAACGAGAACGTCAACAAGAACCTCCCCTGACCCTCTGACCTTCTCCTCCTCTTTTTTTTCAGTTTTTTTTTTTTCACAACAAATTTGCATTCACAGCTCCACACACTGTACATATAAGAGACAAAATATAAATTAAAACAAACAAAACTGAACGCACAATTCATCAACAGAGCTTTTCCAAAACACAACAACAGTCTATACAAGGTTTATATAAAGATTTCTACAGTGTTCAAGTGTTTAAAGTTATTGAGCCCAATATTTTACAAACCAAAATCTCTACCAGAAATTTCTTTCTTCCTCCTTCTTCTTCTTTTTCTTATTCTTATTATTCTTATTATTATTATATACAGTGTTGGGGAGTAACAGATTACAAGTACCAGAGTAATTTAATTAAGTAATCAGAGTACAAATGATGAGTAACTGTATTCAGTTACTGTTTCAGTGAGTGGTAATTGGATTACAGTTACTTTGTTGAAATAAATGGATTACAGGGCAGGATTTTCCTGTTTTCACATTTTGGGCTAAACCAGGACTAAACCAGGACTAAACCAGGTCTACACCAGGTCTACACCAGGACTAAATCATGCTGTGTGGACGTGTTTCCTCGTCTTCTATCAATAATATTTTTAATTTGGTTCAGTAAAGTCTGGGCTTTTTATTTTCTTTTATCAGACAAAACATCTTATGTGAAGATTTCCTCGTCTTTGCTTCTTTACAGCAAATCAAATAATCCAAAGTATTCAGATTACGTTATTCACTTTAAGTAATTTAATGGACTCTGTTACAAACTACATTTTGGTGTATGTAATCTGTAATCTGTAGGGGATTACATTTTAAAAGTAACCTTCCCAACACTGAAAAAAAAAAATATATATATATATATATGTATATATATATATATATATATATATATATATATTTCTTTTTTTTTTCCCCCCGTTTATGGTCGTACAAACTAATAATGATGTCAACAAAGTGACAAAAGTTTATCGTTTATGATCATGCGAAATAAACAACAATGAGAATGAAAGAATGTGAGGACATTTTGTTTTTCGTTTATGGTCGTACAAACTGATACGAACAATAACGAAGGCACAAATTGTTTATCATTGTACAAAATAAAAGTTAATGTTAAAGAAAATTTTAAAGAAGTCGTCCTCCTCTGACCCTCTCCTCCTCCTTTCCTTTCCTTTCCTCGCCTCCTTTACTCTGCTCCTCCTCTTCTCCTCTTCTCTTCCTCCTCTACTCCTCTTCTTCTTTTCTCCTCTCTTCTCCTTCTCTGCTCTTCCTCTCCTCTGTTCCTCTTCTCCTCCTTTTCTTTGCTCCTCCTCTTCCCCTCCTCTTCTTCCTCTGCTCCGCAGCTCCTTTCCTCTGCTCTTCCTCCTCTTCTTTCTTCTCTGCTTATCCTCCTCTTCTCTGTTCCTCTTCTCCTTCTCCTTGTCTTCTTCTTTTCTCCTCTTCCCCTTTCTCCTCCTCTGCTTCTCCTCTTGTCCTCTCTTCTCCTCCTCTGCTCTTCCTCCTCTTTCTCTCCTCTGTTCCTCTTCTCCTCCTTTTCTTTGCTCCTCCTCCTCTCCTCCTCTTCCTCCTTTCCTCTGCTCTTCCTCCTCTTCTTCCTTCTTCTTTCCTTTGCTCCTCCTCTGCTGTTCCTCCTCCTCCTTCTCCTCTCCTCCTCCTCCTCCTCCTCTTCTTCTCCTCTTCTTCTTTTCTCCTCTTCTCCTCTCCCCTTCCTCTCCTCCTCGATGTTTGATCCAGACTTTTTGACAAGTAATTTTCCAATAATGATCCAAAAACTAAAACTAACTTGTTGTTGTTATTTTACAGCTTTGATTTTGAGGCGTAGTATCTGAGATAAAAACCTGCGGCCGATTGAGAGAGAAGCTCATTTCGTATGTTAAAATTTTCAGAACGAGCTTTAAAACTTTCACAGTTTGTCAGAAAACCAAAGTCAAATTTGATCTGAATGAGTTATGAACCGGGATCCGTTTTGACGCGTGTCACTTTCATTATAGCGCACATTTCCGGTCAAACTCGGGCTTTAAACAGGATAAATATTAATAATCTTACGTAATATTCTGTGAAGATGATTTTCGTAAAAACTCACCTGGTTTAATGAACAAATCCTCCGCGTTTGAGTCCATCACAGAAACGAGCCTGAAGCAGACGGAACAGCGCAGGGAAACCGGAGAACCTCTCAGAAACCGCTAAAAAAAACACGATCTAACGTAAAATAGCGTAACGTGAAGTTTGCATCGGCGCAAATCTAAAAATCCTAAAGTTTAAAGCGCTGTCGGACAGAAAAGGCTCATGTTTAAACCAGGAACAGACACAGTGAACGAAGAGCAGCAAAAAAAAGTCAACACACAACTTCCGGGAGGACTTTCACATACACACAAAAAAAACACAATTCAGGATTCGAATTGCCGAATTTATTTTGTTAGGATTTATAATGAGAAACTATTCGGGGAAAAAAATATTAATTAATGTACGTCTTTAAATATATAACGTAAAAATATAACAAGAATGCAAAAACTAAGAACGTTTTGGTTTTATTTTGAAAGCGCAAAGGTCTCGCTTCCTCTCACCTGCCTGATTCAGCACTTCCGGGACACGTGGAGCAGCGTGTGTCACGTGACAAACAACAATAACAATAATAATAATAATATAAAGCACTTTTAAAAACAAGATTTAAAAAAAAACTATATAAAAAGCATGAATAATAGCAAATAATCAAATAAATTATATATAAAAATATATATATAATAAAATAATAATTAATAATAATAACAATAATAATAATAATAAATAAAACTGTGATTGGAAGGCCAACCATCTTATTATTTGACCAACTGAAACATAAGAAACTACTACAACTTTTTTTTTGTTAAAATAATGCTAAATGTATCATAAAAATCAGTTTCTTAGGTGTAAATCTCCCTGAGTTTGTTTTAAAACTCTCCATTTGCTGTGATTTTAAGCAGATTTTTCAACTTTTCTCCACAAAGTCACCCAACCTTTACTGAACACGTTCACAATAACTCCTTTGTTCAATTGTAATTCGTAAAAAAATAATGTCTAAGACGCTAATGATAATAATAATAATAATAATAATAATAGTAATAATAATAATAATAATAATAATAATAATAGTAATAATAATATTAGTGGCGAGGGCCAATAAAACACTTTTAAAAACAAGATTTACAAAAAAATACCAAATATATATACAGAACCCGTAAGACCAACCTGTGCACTGCCTGGATTGATTACAAGAAAGCCTACGACTCAATGCCACACACATGGATCACTGAGTGCTTGAAGCTGTACAATATCAACAGGACTCTAAGGGCGTTCATTGCGAACTCGATGCGGTTGTGGAAAACCACCCTTGAAGCCAAGGGGAAGCCACTTGCACATGTGTCCATCAAATGTGGCATATACCAAGGAGACTCACTGTCCCCACTACTGTTCTGCATAGGCCTGAACCCTCTCAGCCAAATAATCGACCGCACTGGCTATGGATACCGACTCAGAAACGGGGCCACCATCAGTCAGCTCCTCTACATGGATGACATAAAGCTGTACGCTAAGAGTGAGCGAGACATCGACTCACTGATCCACACCACAAGGATCTACAGTACAGACATTGGGATGTCATTCGGGCTTGAGAAATGTAGCAGGATGGTGACAAAGAGAGGGAAGGTAGTCCACACAGAGGGGGTGTCACTCCCAGAGGGAACAATAGCAGACGTTGAGGACAGTTACAAGTACCTTGGTATCCCACAAGCAAATGGCAACCTCGAAGAGGCAACAAGGAAAGCGGCTACGGCCAAATACCTGCAAAGAGTGAGGCAAGTCCTTAGAAGCCAGCTCAATGGCAAGAACAAGGTGCAGGCAATCAACAGCTACGCCCTGCCAGTGATCAGATACCCTGCAGGGATTGTAAGCTGGCCAAAGGAAGAGATACAGACCACAGATGTTAAGACACGAAAGCTCCTGACCATGCATGGAGGGTTCCATCCCAAATCCAGCACCCTGAGACTGTACGCAGGCCGGAAGGATGGAGGCTGAGGACTAGTGAGTGTGGGAACCACTGTCCAGGATGAAACATCCAAGCTCCTTGAGTACATCAAGGACAAGGCCCCGGAAGATGAGGTGCTCAGAGAATGTCTCAGACAGTGGGGTCCAGAGGAAGAGGTGCTGGAGGGACCATCATGGCAGGACAAACCCCTACATGGGGCGTACCACTGGAACATAACTGAAGTGGCTGATATCAAGAAATCCTACCAATGGCTTGAGAGGGCTGGTCTGAAGGACAGCACAGAGGCACTGATCCTGGCTGCTCAGGAGCAGGACCTGGGCACTCGAGCAATAGAGGCCCAGATCTACCACACCAGACAAGACCCACGGTGTAGACTGTGCAAAGAGGCTCCTGAGACAGTCCAGCACATAACTGCAGGGTGTAAGATGCTGGCAGGGAAAGCATACATGGAGCGACATAACCAAGTTGCGGGCATAGTGTACAGAAACATCTGTGCAGAGTACGGGCTGGAGACCCCAGGATCAAGGTGGGAAACACCTCCAAAGGTTGTGGAGAATGACCGAGCCAAGATCCTGTGGGACTTCCAGATACAGACTGACAGAATGGTGATGGCGAACCAACCAGACATAGTGGTGGTGGATAAGAAACAGAGCAGAGCCGTGGTGGTTGACATCGCAATACCAAGCGATGGTAATATCAGGAAAAAGGAACACGAGAAGCTAGAGAAATACCAGGGGCTCAAGGAAGAGCTGGAGAGAGCCTGGAAAGTAAAGGCATCAGTGGTGCCTGTGGTGATCGGACACTCGGGGCTGTAACCCCCAAACTGGAAGAGAGGCTACAACAGATACCGGGAAAAACAATGGACATCTCAGTCCAGAAAAGTGCAGTACTGGGAACAGCAAAGATACTGCGCAGAACTCTCAAGCTCCCAGGCCTCTGGTAGAGGACCCGAGCTGAATGAGGGTGAGAGACCTACCACCGTGGAAGGTGAGAAATTTTATATATATATATATATATATATATATATATATATATATATATATATATATATATATATATATATATATATATATATATATATATATATATATAATATAAATAATAGCAAAAAATTCAATAAATTATAACTTTAAAAATTTTATAATAAAATAAATAAGGGAATGGAAGGCCAACCAATAAAAATTAGTTTTAAGAAGTGATTTTAAAAGATGATCCTGATGTGAGTTTTATTTCCTCAGGCAGGTCATTCCAAAGTCCATTTACACAACTATTATCCAGTTATTACTGCACAAAGAAACAAACAAATTGGTGCATTTACAATGATGATAGACATTTAATCAAATCAAATCTGAGTTATTCAGCAAATATGATTCTGAATTATTCTGTTGTGAAGGGAGCGGAGAGCTCTTGGCAGCTCTCGAGCAACAGGTCGGTGACTCCGGGGTTAAAAGTTCTGAAATGAAACTTGGTGCAACACGTAAACAAGCTTTAAAAGTGTTCAGTAAAATCTTCAAATCGATTCTAAGGGTCTGTTTACACGAGACGCTTGTGAGTAAAAATGACTTTTTAATGGGAAGAGTCTTTGTTTTACTCCAGAGCTCGTCTCCATGTCCCACACACTGGGTAAGAGGAAAAACTGGACGGATGATTCTGATCTGACCTCAGAGCAGCTGAACAGGCCGAGCTACAAACACAAACTGTCAGGTGTGTGTGGTAGTTCCAGAGGAGTTTCAGTGTAGTTAGCTCCTCCTTCAGGCAGATATGAGGAAGTGTCACCAGAGTCTGAGCAGAAGAAGCAGCTCGAACGATCTAAGAAACGGATTCGACCAAATAAACTTTTGTCCATTTCACAAATTGACGACTGAAAGATTTTTCACACATAAAAGTTGTAAAAGTACAAACTACAAAATGAAAAATTGAAATGAAACTACAAAATTTTAATGATTTTAACACAGTCCATCATTATTCCAGTTCGTAAGAAAACTACTGTGACATGTTTGATCCTCGGTTCGTCTGGTGCTTAAATTGAATTCACTATTTACGTGTTTAAAAAAAAAAAACAGAATTACATTATTTTTAATCGTAATCACAGCTCTCGTGTAAACTGGGAAAATGAGCTGTTGTGCAAAGTTGTTTCACATTTCCTTCCTCTTTAGGGAAAAAAAAACCCCACAAACGATCAAGAAATAAGAATGTGTTAAAACGGGGAACTCTCAGAGACCTGGTTCAGACCTGGTTCAGTCCTGGTTTAGTCCTGGTTCAGACCTGGTTCAGTCCTGGTTTAGTCCTGGTTTAGTCCTGGTTCAGACCTGGTTCAGTCCTGGTTTAGTCCTGGTTTATTCCTGGTTCAGACCTGGTTCAGTCCTGGTTTAGTCCTGGTTTATTCCTGGTTTAGACCTGGTTCAGTCCTGGTTTTGTTCTCGGACATGTTCCTCAGCCTGTTCCTGTCCCTCTGCTGCTGGGGTGAGTTCTGTTTCTTCTCGTCCACAGACTTCTTGTTTTAAGTAAAAGTATTAAAGTACCTGTTTAAAAATGTACTTCAAGAGTAAAAAGTAAACGTATTTTACGAAGATTTTGAAATCTGATAAAACTTAAAAGATGTAGTGATTTTGTTTAACAGAAACAAGTGAATTAATGTTTTTTCTAATCAATGTTTTGTTTAGTTTTTTTTCCCCAGCTATTTGAAGTAGAAAGTACAGATATTTGCTCTCAAATGTAGTGAAGTAAAAGTAAAAATTATCCACTTTAAGTACAAATATCTAGATGTATACTTCATGTTCATGTTCTGTTCCCTTCTCAAAATCAGAGCTGGAGTTGTGTTTGTTTCTTTCACACATGTTTGAGTAACTCTTTATTATGAGTCTGTCGACATCTGCAAAGCTCTAAACGCTCTGCTCCACCTTGTGATGTCATAAAGTGATAGTTTTGTGAACAGTGAACAGCTCCTTTTCCCTTTCAACAGATCGGTAATTCCAGAGCTAAAATCACCCATATGATTCTAGTGACCGAAAGGACGAGATCGCGGATACAAGCGCTCGAAATGAGTTTCCTCCGCAGGGTGGCTGGGCGCTGCCTTAGAGATAGGGTGAGGAGCTCAGTCACACGGGAGGAGCTCGGAGTAGAGCCGCTGCTCCTCCACGTCGAGAGGAGCCAGTTGAGGTGGCTCGGGCATCTGTTCCGGATGCCTCCTGGGCGCCTCCCTCGGGAGGTGTTCCGGGCATGTCCCGCCGGGAGGAGGCCCCGAGGAAGACCCAGGACACGCTGGAGGGACTATGTCTCTCGGCTGGCCTGGGAACGCCTCGGGGTCCCCCCGGAGGAGCTGGAGGACGTGTCTGGGGTGAAGGAAGTCTGGGAGTCCCTGCTTAGGCTGCTCCCCCCGCGACCCGGCCCCGGATAAGCGGACGAAAATGGATGGATGGATGGATTCTATTGAAGGTGTGTGGTGTTTAAAAACACTTCCTGTATCACCACATGATGACATCACAAGGTGGAACAGAGTGTTTTCAGTCTGAGAGAAGATCTCATTTTAAATGTGCAGGTTTGTGTGTTAAACGTGTGAGTGAAACAAAACACAGCTCCAGGTTTGTTTGTGTGATGAGGAAACAGTGATGTGGGACATTTAAAGATTATATTTCTATAACAAACTGTTTCTGACTCGTATTTATTTAATTTAAAGTGTGTATGACAGCTTTAGACGAGACTCTGATTTGGACATAATCTGGTGATAAAACCTTGCCAAGCTCGTTTTGTCTTCGCTCCACATACAAAATGTTCTCTGTAAACAGCGACGGAACCACGGCCCACCAGTCAGATAGCAGGCACCACACAGGACATGTAAATACAGATGAAACACGTGGTAATACAAACGGGGAGTGCCAGGCGATGCGGAGCCGGAGACCGTAACACCAACAACCACACAATTACAATGTCCGAATCCCAAAACTAAAATATGACAATATCAGAACCAGAAACAAAAGTGATATGGTTCAAAAGACCTGAAAAGATCGACTTTGACAATAGACACATCTCACTGGGAAAACAAACATGGAGGATTGATGCTCACTTTTTTGGAGGATCCTTCTCAATATGAATTGGGCGATGACCAGAAGTCTGAAATTCAGGATGCACGTATTAACTCCAATCAATCAGTGAACCTGCCCAGAGACAACAGACGGAAATGAGCTCTGGTGCTACAGCCTGATGTACAAACATGTCTCCGGTTAAGATTCATGTAGATTTTGTGACATGAACTCTTTGTGTGCATGGGGTCCTGTGTGCAGGGGTCCTGGCAGAAAACAACAGCTCAGCAGGTAAGAAGCACTCAGCACATACACACTCACACAGACCACGTCCCCTCCACACCTCCACCTCACCACAAACACAGACCACGCCCCCTCCACACCTCCACCTCACCACAAACACAGACCACGCCCCCTCCACACCTCCACCTCACCACAAACAAAGACCACGCCCCCTCCACACCTCCACCTCACCATAAAAGGACAGACCACGCCCCCTCCACACCTCCACCTCACCACAAACCAAGACCATGCCCCTCCACACCTCCACCTCACCACAAAAGGACAGACCACGCCCCCTCCACACCTCCACCTCTCCACAAACAATGACCACGCCCCCTCCACACCTCCACCTCACCATAAAAGGACAGACCACGCCCCCTCCACACCTCCACCTCACCACAAACCAAGACATGCCCCTCCACACCTCCACCTCACCACAAAAGGACAGACCACGCCCCCTCCACACCTCCACCTCTCCACAAACAATGACCACGCCCCCTCCACACCTCCACCTCACCACAAACCAAGACCACGCCCCCTCCACACCTCCACCTCACCACAAACCAAGACCACGCCCCCTCCACACCTCCACCTCACCACAAACCAAGACCATGCCCCTCAACACCTCCACCTCACCACAAAAGGACAGACCACGCCCCCTCCACACCTCCACCTCACCACAAACCAAGACCACGCCCCCTCCACACCTCCACCTCACCACAAACCAAGACCATGCCCCTCAACACCTCCACCTCACCACAAAAGGACAGACCACGCCCCCTCCACACCTCCACCTCTCCACAAAACAATGACCACGCCCCCTCCACACCTCCACCTCACCATAAAAGGACAGACCACGCCCCCTCCATCATCCAAACTCTCTTACCTCTGTGCGTGCGTGGGTCTGACCTCTGTGTGCGCGGGCCTGGGTCGGGTGGGCACGAGCATTATTCAGTTCTGTCAGAGAGCAGCTCTCATTTGCCAGAGTTCCCAGTTACAAATGGGAATATTTTGAGTTGGGGGTCAGGTTAGGGTCTGGTTGGGGTCAGGTTGGGGTCAGGTTGGGGTCAGGTTAGGGTCAGGTTGGGGTCAGGTTGGGCCCCGTCGGCTTCATGTCATGTGCAGACTCGGGTCACTCTGGCGCTCAGTGTTGGAGCTGCGTTTAGTCCCAGTGCTTCATTAAACCAACACCAGGCTCCTGTGCTCCGTCTGAGGGAAGAGTTTTCTCTCAGGTCATTATTTCATCCTCTGTGTAGGTCACAGCCACAGACTATGACCTACACAAGTCTATGACCATGACCCTGCGCTGCACAACTTTCAGATGTATAATATTGTAAACCTCTGCTAAAATCCACAAATTTGAAGGTAATTATTTTATATACGTAGATTTTCTGATGATTTCCTGATCAAACTCTTCCTCAAACCCTCTTCACTTCTGCTCATCTCCACGAGTGTCACTTTTTCCCCGTGTCTCCAGACTTTGCGTAGAGTTTACAGGAGGTCTCTGTAGGCTTCCATACAGTCCCTGACAAAAGTCTTGTCGCTTATCCATTTTGTAGAAACAAAAGCTTATAACTTGACTTAAATGAATCGATTGGTTTTAGAAATGTCTCATATGAAAGCTAAAACCCTCCCAAATTATGCTCAATATACTAAAATAAATTTGCTTCACTGAAAAAAGATTGATCATTTAATGAACACAGAAAGGTCAGATTTTGGCAAGACAAAAGTCTTGTGGCCTTGTCACATGATGCACCCAATCCTAGATTACAGCCTCACCTGTGGTCAGTTACTGATCAATCAGTTAGTGGGTGTGTATAAAAAGAAGCCCAGCACACCAGACCTTCACATCAACTGCAACTTGACCTCTGACAACATGCCTAAGATCCACCCTGAGACCAAAGCCTTAATTATCAAGAGGCTGAAGACCAGATCCACTGCTGAGGTGGTGACACCTTCAATGTGTCTCAGCGTCAAGTACAAAGAATAAGAAAAAGATCTGAAATGACTGGAGATGTTTTTGAGAAGCCCAGGTCCGGCAGACCCCACAAGACAACTGCTTGGGAGGACCGTTTGTTGATTCGAAAATCCAAGGCCCCTTTTCCACTGCAGCAGACTCCACCAGGCCTGGTCACCTCAAGTCGCTGTGTCAACTAGAACAGTTTGTACAATTCTGTCTGGAAATGGCCTCCATGGTCGAATCAGTGCACAGAAACCAGCACTAAACAAAAGGCAATTAAAAAACTGTGTGGCATTTGCCAAGGCCCACAGCCTGCTAAAAGGATGGACACTGGAAAAGTGGCAGAAGGTGGATTTCTCAGATGAATCCTCAGTTGAATTACATCACAGCCACCGCAAATATTGCAGTAGACCTACTGGAGCCCACATGGATCCAAGATTCACCCAGAAAACAGTTAAGTTTGGTGGCGGAAAAATCCTGGTCTGGGGTTCCACCCAGTATGGGGGTGTGTGCGAGACATTTGCAGGGTGGAAGACAATATCAATAACCTAAAATATCAAGAAGTATTAGCTCCTCTTACATTCCCAACCATAAAAGGGTCAAATTTTGCAGCAGGATGGTGCTCCATCGCATACTTCTATCTCGACATCAAAGTTTCTCAAGGCGAAGAAGATCAAGGGTTAGCCCAGCCCGGTCACCAGACATGAACATCATTGAGCATGTCTGGGGTAGAATGAAAGAGGAAGCATGGAAGGCAAAACCAAAGAATCTTGATGAACTCCGGGAGGCATGTAAGATGCTTTCTTTGCTATTCCTGATGACTTCATCAACAAATTGTATGAATCATTGTGGAACCGCATGGATGCAGTCCTTCAAGCTCATGGAGTCATACAAGATATTAAATATGGATCTCACAGCACCACTACTTCATTCACTGACGTTATGCAACATATTTTTGTATTTGAAGTAAATTATTTGTTAAATTTTCTGTAGGCGACAAAACTTTTGTCTTGGCAAAATCTGACCTTTCTGTGTTCATTAAATTATCAATCTTTTTTCAGTGAAGCAAATTTATTTTAGTTTATTGAGCATAATTTGGGAGGGTTTTAGCTTTCATATGAGACATTTCTAAAACCAATCGATTAATTTAAAGTCAAGTTATAAGCTTTTGTTTCTACAAAATGGATAAGAGACAAGACTTTTGTCAGGGACTGTAGAGAGAAGCAAAGTGCGACGCTTAACCCTTGTACTATCCTCAAAGGGATACAGAGGGGTACAAATGTGACCCATATATCTATGGGTCCATTTGACCCGGTCACATAACAGCCATGTGACTTGGCCTTACATTGTCTCTGTTCTTTGTGTGCATTGTGGTGTTTATGCTCTTTATTTATTTGGGAACTGTTTTAACCTCAGAGGGGTACATTTGTACTCCTCTGTATCCCTTTGAGGACAACACAAGCGTTAAGACGAGTTTCATAAATCCCGTATTTGGCGTAAAGAGCGACTACGCAAGGATTTGTGTGTAAATGAGCTTTAGAAATGAGGCCCCTGGAGTCTAACCTCACTGAGTGTGTGTGTGTGTTTGTGTGTCAGGTAAAGGGGCGGGGCTTCACTCTGTCTCTTGTGTGTTCAGACATCAGGCTGGTGGGCGGGGCCAGTCGTTGTTCTGGGACTGTGGAGGTGAGACTCAGAGGAGAGTGGAGACGTGTGCATGAGCCCTTCGGACGCTGGGACCTGGAGCACACAGCTGCTGTGTGCAGGGACCTGGACTGTGGTTCTGCTGTTTCTGGAGGATACAGAGGAGGTTTTCCCCAGAGTCGTGTTTGGTGGCTCAGATCTGACTGTGTGAAGGAGTCTTCAGTGAGAGGATGTGTCTCACTCTCTGATTCTCTCTCCTCTTCTCGGGCTCTGGAGGTGGAGTGTTCAGGTAAAAGTTTGATCTTACATTACAACCAGATGGCAATAATATTATTTATTTAATTTTTTCCCATTTTGGGTATATTGTAGCTCCCCTGGTTTTCTTTGTAAAAAAGGACTTCACGCTCCGTCCTGATGATCATGTCAATATTTATTCTCCGTAATCTTCAACTCCACCAACACACTGAAACACCGTGAAAACTAATACAGACACAGAAAAAGGCTCAGCTTTACATAAAAACCTTTAAATAAATGCACAATTGAAAACAATATTTACCGTGTTCATCTGTACAACACCAGCGGGAGTTAAGTATCGTGTCTTTAATTCTGACGTCTTTTTCTTTACACATTTTTCTGTCGTCTTTCTCTCTTTTCGCATCTACTATATTTTTCTCTCTCTTTGTTTACTTCCGGGGGCAGGAAAAGGTCACATAACTTAAAAGGTCAATATATTCACAAATAAAATATAACATTTACTGTGGTATTTTGACACATCTTAATATTCAATCAAATAAAATAATAATTTTCTCACTTATTGCCATGAAAACAAATATTCTGACACTGTCGTCAGCGACATAGATTTTTCCATAAATATTGACATATTTGACTTTTGCATCATTCAAAACTGAAATGGCACAAGTTGAAATCTGACAAATCGAGACAATAAATCCTAATAAAAGATTATGATGTAAATGCTCTTCAAATATCAAAGACTGTAACAGATAGAAAATCAGAGACTGGATTATTTTTGTATCAGGATTTACACTTGTTCAGAGACACAGAGTTTTACTGAACTGACAAAAGCTCATTCATTAAGATCCAGGTGTTTGGGCACTGACTGGGGTTTATATTTGAGGAATTATTTTAAACAGTCTCAAAACTATTCAAAATCTTTATTCAAAAATGTGCACTAGTGATCCCGTTTATTATTTAGGGGTGACTGGGGTAAATGAATGAGGTGGGTCACTTCTCACATTCGTGGGTTTTCTGTAAGATATAATATTATCTACATTTATTCATTCTTTTTTCATTGTTTGTTATTTAGCATGACATTTTTCTATTTTATTATCATTATTCTAGTTTACATAAATGATGACGCGTGTACATGCACAAAACAGCGTCACGAAATATCACTTTTACAAAACTGTGCTGAACAGTAATCGTAATGTACCTGCTGTTTCAAGAAAATGTGTGAAGGCCACATGAGCGTGTTCCTGCTCGCTCAGAGTAATGGTAAATGGTCACATTTTTCTATAGCGCTTTTCCACCTTCAAGGTGATCAAAGCGCTTTACAACTAGGAACCACTCACACATTCAGACACTGTGGGCAAGGTGGGTTAAGTGTCTTTCCCAAGGACACAATGACAGCGTTCATCTGTGGGAGCTGGAATCACACCAGCTCAACCTGTGGGTCAGTGGATCTGACTGCTCAACCTGTGATGTTCATGTGGAGAGCTGGAATCAAACCGCCAACCTTCAGATCAGTGGGCGAATGCTCTACCAACTGAACTACTGCTGCCCTTCACACTCGGTGCTGGTGAGGCTGTTGTAGCCACAGCTGCCCTGGGACAGACTCACAGGAGCAGCTCTGTGTCATGTGACCAACAGATGTCATTTTGTGACATGAACTCTTTGTGTGCAGGGGCCCAGGCAGAAAACAACAGCTCAGCAGGTAAGAAGCACTCGGCACATACACACTCACACAGACCAGGAGTCAAACCCACAACCTCCTCACTGAGTGTGTGTGTGTGTGTCAGGTAAAGGGGCGGGGCTTCACTGCTCAGGTAAAGGGGTGGGGCTTCACTCTGTGTCTCGTCTGTTCAGAGCTCAGACTCGTGGGAGGAGTCAGTCGTTGTTGTGGGACTGTGGAGATCAGACTCAGAGGAGAGTGGAGACGAGTGATTGAGCTCGATGAACCCTGGGACCTGGAGCACACAGCTGTTGTGTGCAAAGACCTGGACTGTGGCTCTGCTGTTTATGGAGAAGAGAGATATGATTTTCCACAGAGTCATGTGTGGATGGTTTCATCTGACTGTGTGAAGGGGTCTTCAATGAGAGAATGTGTCTCTCATTCATCGTCCTCTTCCTGGGGTGTGGACGTGATGTGTTCAGGTAAAAGTCTGATCTTACATTTCGCACACACGCACGCACACTCGCACGCACACACACACACACACACACACACACACACACAGTGACTGATGTGTCCAATCACGTGTCTCCACAGACTTCATCTTGAATCGTCCAATCATCTCCGTGTCTGTGAGTGACGGGGCGTCCGAGCTCCACCCTCAGGGGGTGCGGGTGCAGTTGGGCTCAAAGTTTCGGGTCAAATGCTTTGTGGAGCCACAGTACCCGGGAGGCTCCTTCCGGCTCCTCTCTCCCGCCGCGCCCCCCGCTCAGAACCGCACCCTGCCCGCCGTCAATCACTCCGCCCACTTCCTGTTCTCTGACGTTGACCACGCCCACAAAGGAAACTACACCTGTGTTTACCTCCTGCAGGTGTTCAACCACAACTTCTCCTCTCAGAGCCACACACTCTAGCTCTCTGTGGGAGGTACACACACACACACACACACACACACACACCACACACCTACACTATACACACACACACACACTATACACACACACACACTATACACACACAATACACACACACACACACTATACACACACACACTATACACACACTATACACACACACACACACACACACTATACACACACACACACACTATACACACACACACACACACTATACACACACACACACTATATCACACACACACACACACACTATACACACACACTATACACACACACACACTATACACACACACACACTATACACACACACTATACACACACACTATACACACACACACACACACACTATACACACACACACTATACACACACACAATATACACACACACACTATACACACTATACACACACACACACACTATACACACACACTATAACACACACTATACACACACACACACAATACACACACACACACACACTATACACACACACACCATACACACACACTATACACACACACACACACACACTCCAGCTCTCTGTGGAAGGTACACATGCACACACACACACACACAATACACACACACACACACTACACACACACACACTATACACACACACACACACACACACACTATACACACACTACACACACACAAACACTATACACACACACACACACACACACACTATACACACACAACACTATACACACACACTATACACACACACTATACACACACACACACACACTATACACACACACACACACTATACACACACACACACTATACACACACACACACTATACACACACACACACACACACACACACATACACACACACACACACACACACACACACTATACACTATACACACACACTATACACACACAATATACACACACACTATACACTATACCCTTTACGTGCTTTCTCGCTCTGTCCGTCATGTTCAATTAGTGTTTCTTTTCGCTGACCAAAATAATTCCCAGCATGCAATGCGCGCTTTTGTCAACAATGAAACTCGCTTATACAGGAAACCAAAGGAAACACACAAAGACACACAGAGAATATGCAAACAGCAGACATGCAGAGACTCAGTGACACAAACAGGATTTCACCTCCTCACATCAACAAAACATCAGTGATAAACTTAAAGAGCCTGATGTTTCTTTCACATGTTTGAGTATCGTATTTTCCGGGCTATTAGACACTCTGGATTATAAGGCGCATTCTTATTAAGTCATTAAATGGTCTATTTTCAAACTTTTTTCACAAATAAACCGCACTAGACTTTAAAGGAAACCCAGCAGTGTGATGGGTGAGTGGTTTTGTTTGTTTGTGGCATTCACGGTGACTCTGGGCTTTGTTCAGTTGTGGCGTGTAGGGAGGGTGCTGTCTGGGACCAACGGATTGTCGGCGTGTTCACAGTGACTCAGTTGTTCAGTTGTGTCTAGAAGTGGCACATTGCACTCGCTTTTTCGTTTTTTTCTTTTGTTCCGTTCCTCGTCGGTGTGGAGTGATGAGTGTGTCTGTGGGTGTGTTTCGCTGTGCGGTCACTGTCTGCTGCGTGTGTGTTTGTGTGTTCTGTGGGTGGTGTGGCTTTGTAGTTTACTGAAGTCGTGCTGGGACACCTAAGTGGATTCGTGTATAGATTGCGGCGCATGCGGTCGTTTTTTGATGCTGTTAGAGGCTTAAGACCGTGGTTAATCACCCAGAAAATACCGTAAATCTTTATTATCAGTCTGTCTACATCTCCAAAGCTCTAAATGTTGTTCCACCTAGTGATGTCATGAAGTGGTAGTTTCCACGTTTACAGCTCTTTTTACCTTAAGTTCAGTAGAGATCGGCAAATCCACTCCTGAAATGATCCAAATGATTCTAGTGAAGGTGTGTGGAGTTTAAAAACACAGTGGAGCACTTTCTGTATCACCACATGATGACATCACAAGGTGGAACAGAGTGTTTTCAGTTTGAGAGAGGAACTCGTGCTAAATCTGCAGGTTCTGTTTCATCCCTGCTGACCTCCGGAGGCCGCGCTTCAAGCGTGAATGATCATCTTTGGGGACGCGCAGGTGGAGAGTCGAGCGACCTTGTGACGTCCAGTTTTGGTCGGACAGGATTTGGTTTTACTCCTGCACAGGCTCTTCCTCCAGGAGAGATCTCCTGTCACAGTTAGGAGGGAGACTTCTTCACCTGAATCCAGAGCGGCTCCGGCTTTTGGTGTGGCCACTGTAGAGTCCGGCACAAATTTCACAGAGTACATATATGGTTGGGATTTTAGGTCACACAGTTTCCAATGCTCGGGGACTAGGGATGGGCATTCGATTACATTTTCTTAATCAATCGTCAGAAGAATTAACGATCGATTATCGATTAATCATTAATGTTTTTATATTAAAATTATCATCATTATTATTACTATCTGCACTAATCTGCATAAATAAATTCAACTTTACGACATATAAACCATAACCACTCTAGAGCCACATCAGCTGTTTGACATTATAATGTGTTTAATGCAGATTTGTTCAACTCTCACAGAAACTAAACTGTAGCATCCAGTCGAACTGAGAAGGCCAGAACTGATGGTTAAATGACTTTTAATCTTTCCTTGCCGTGTCATAGAACCAACGTAAGAGCTAGACAAGAACAAAATAACAGCAATTACCATACGATTACAGCATCACTAGCTCATTACATTGCTTAACCGTTATCCATATTTAACATTAATTTGATACAAGTGACAAGAAGTTCAAATATACATTAACAAGTCAAACAAACCTTGTTCCCCTGTCGACTGTAGCTATCTTTACTTTGTTTTATAGAACTTTTCTCCGTTGTTTTGATTTTCACTATTAACGTTGCCGTGTTTTACTGTGCGTCGTTTCTTTATAACAAGCTAACGTTTTTTCCTTCACTTCCGTTCACACCGGAAGTGTGACCCTTACAATTAAATGCCATAAACTGCGTGTTAATGTATATAAGAGCTAACTTGACCTTTACATAAACTTTAAACCACATCGCTAATTTGCATAAACTAAGCGGAAAAAAAAAAAACAGCTCTTGTGTCACTGATGTGGTTCAACTTCTGTCGGATTAAAGGACATGACTCAGGTGAATACAGGTTAGTGCAGACATGGGCATACTACGGCCCGCGGGCCATATACGGCCCGTTGGTCTTTTTAATCCGGCCCGCCAAACATGTCACAGTTATATTAAAATATAAAATTAATAATACCGGTACCGGCAAACCTGTTCATTTACTTTTCCCCTGTAATGCCCACATTTCCCCAGCAGATGGCGCGCTTGAGCTTTTCGCCCCCTCTTCTTCTCGGTCAAGCTTTTCCCCCTTCTGTAAATATGAGTTTATCAAAGAAAAGAAAAGTCGACAGTGAGTGCCGACTATTTAATACGGAATGGACAACAAAATATTTTTTCAAAGAAGTCTGATCAAAGGCTGAATGCTTGATATGCCAAGAAACTGTCGCGGTTTTTAAGGAGTTCAATATCAGCCGTCACTTAGCTACGAAGCATCCCAATTACGCTAGCAAGCTGTCAGCGCAAGAGCGGGCAGCTACGGCTGAGAGATTGTCAGCTAATTTACTGACTCAGCAAAAATTTTTTCACCGACAAACTGCGATTCAAGAGTCAACTACCAGGGCAAGCTTTTTGCTGGCATTCAAATTAGTAAAAGCTAGCAAGCCTTTCTCCGAAGGCGAGTTTTTAAAAGATTGCATGATAGAGACTGCAGCTGTTCTGTGTCCGGAAAGCCAAGGCAAGTTTGAAAAGATCAGTTTGTCACGTCGGACTGTGACTCGCCGTGTGGAACTGATTGACGAACATATAGCCAGCCAAATAAACAAAAAGGCAGAGTCCTTTCAGTTATATTCACTTGCACTGGATGAAAGCACCGATATCAAAGACACAGCGCAGCTCCTAATTTTTATCCGAGGGATAAATGACAGCTTTGAGATAACGGAAGAGTTTTTGAGCATGGAGTCCCTGAAGGGAACAACGCGGGGAGAGGATTTGTTTGACAAGGTGTCTGCTGCCATCGAGAAACATAAACTACCTTGGAGTAAACTTGCCAATGTCACGACAGATGGATCACCAAATTTAACAGGAAAAAACGTTGGGCTGCTGAAACGAATCCAGGATAAAGTAAAAGAGGAAAATCCTGAACAGGATGTTATTTTCCTTCACTGTATCATCCATCAGGAATCACTGTGTAAGTCTGTATTGCAGCTTAACCATGTTGTGAATCCAGTCATAAAACTTGTGAACTTTATACGCGCCAGGGGACTCCAGCATCGTCAGTTCATCACGTTCCTGGAGGAAATTGATGCGGATCATCAGGACTTACTTTACCACTCTCGTGTCCGGTGGTTAAGTTTGGGCAAAGTGTTTCAACGCGTGTGGGACCTGAAAGAGGAGATCGGCGCATTTTTGGAGTTCGTGGAGAAATCTGACGAATTTCCTGAGCTAAGTGACCAGAACTGGCTTTGTGATTTTGCGTTTGCTGTGGACGTATTTTCACACTTGAATGAGTTGAATGTGAAACTGCAGGGGAAAGATCAGTTTGTGCACGACATGTACAAACATGTTACAGCGTTCAAATCTAAGCTAGCTTTATTTTCCAGACAAGTTGCAAACGCATCTTTCACTCATTTCACCACACTTGGCACAGAGAAAGAGGCGACGCGATATGCAAAGAAATACAGCAAATCACTGGATGACCTGCACAGAGAATTCAGTCGCCGGTTCTCTGATTTTGAAAACATTGAAAAGTCACTTCAGCTCGTGTCCCGTCCCCTCTCAAAAGACCCTGAAACAGTACCACATGAGGTGCAATTGGAACGGATCGATCTTCAGTCTGACTCCATCTTGAAGGAAAAGTTCAACACTCTTAAACTTGACGACTTTTATGCTTCACTGAACGAAGCCACGTTTCCAAACCTCCGGAGGAGGGCACGGAAGATGCTGGCCTTGTTTGGCTCGACCTACGTATGTGAGCAGACATTCAGTGTTATGAACATAAACAAAGCCCGTCACAGATCCAGAATAACTGACCAACACCTCGGATCAATCCTGAGAATCGCCACCACAAAACTTACTCCAGACTTTGATGCACTGGCAAAACAGGGAGATCAACAACACTGTTCCCACTGAAACTGAAGGTGTGTTTTCCTGCTGTGTTTATTCAACTGAAATTTAATTAAATTAATCATTAATCGTTAACAGGTCAAATCTTGTATGTAATTTATAGTAACACTCCATCCATCTGTTCTTGGCCCGGCCCCTCTGTCAAATTTTAGAACTCATTGTGGCCCTCGAGTCAAAAAGTTTGCCCACCCCTGGGTTAGTGTGACCATATTTGTGTTTGTCAAAACCAGGACACCGTACGGGGTGAGTGGGGCGGGGCCTCGTCATTGACATTGAGCGACTCTCACCTGGTAAAACTTTTTCCCACTGGACACCGACACATATGTGCTGCTTTGTACACTGTGCACATGGACTCACACTTGTCCCGACCAGAACGGAAAGTGTGGAATTTCTTGTACAAATCATCGTTAAATACGCATTTGTGCTTCGGCGTGTTTCAGACTGACCGACTGTTTGTGTCTCGCTCCTTCTGATGCAGAGACACATGTACAGACCTGTTTGGTCACACTACGCACAACAACCTACATTCAGTTTGTCGATTAAAATGAACATAATCGATGAAATTCTTAATGATCAATCATCGATTAATCGACTAATCATGCCCATCCCTAGTGGCGACTGTATGCAAAAAGGTGGAAGCTCTTTAATGTTTGTGCCATAGGAACAACCTGGACGCAGTATTCTGTCCGGTCTCCTCCATTCTGTTCTTGCAGTTCACCATCGACCCTCAGGACATTTGCTGCTGCAGTGTTTTACTGGCATCGTTGTGTGAATGGTGCCTCTGTGGGGAGTGACAAGAATGTGGCCCTTTTCTTTTTTTCTTTTTTATAACTTTGTTTTTATTGGTTTTAAGTAACATGTCAAAACAAACAAAAACAATATAAAATCAAAAACAATGTAACAACAGTCTGGAGTTACAGGTTCTTATTTAAACATGGATTTGCGCTTTCATTGGTTTCAGTTCATCTTTAAATGCATTTTTCTTTTCTGTCCATCTTACCTTCAACAATACTTTGTTCCATTTTCATCACAATACTCTCCCAGACAATTAGACTGTAATACCCAAGACCTCCAGAGTCATCGGACGAACAGCGTTCAGATTCAAAGCACCATCAGGCTGGAACAATCTGCCAAACCCTCTGCGCTCCACATCATCATTCCATATCTTTAAGAAAAACTTATTCATTCATCTTAAAACACAATGTGACAGCTTTAAGTGAGGATCTGTTTGGTTGTTATATCAACGCTTCTCTATGTTTATGTTTAATGTCTGTTTGTGTCTTTTTTCTTATCACTTTGTGTTTCTGTTTATTAGATGTGTTGTTTTGTTTTTGTATTGTTTTTGTTTTGCTTGTTTGTATTTTTGTGACTTGTTCTTGTATTCTTTGGATGCTAAGGACCCCCCTCGAAAACGTATTCAATTTGGTATTGACATTTGTGCTACGTTGTTTTACTGGTGTCATTTATGAATACATTCCATTTTTCCCATTGCTCATCGTATTTGTACCTTTCAGTTTAAGATGTTATTCTTTCCATCACTGAAATATTCTCCACAATCCTGATCCAGTCTTGTTGTTGCTCGAAGGCTTCACCCCTCCAGGCGTCTTGTTGCTCTGTCCTGGGATTTGTTGCTGGTTTTGGATTCGCTGCAAACTTCCCCGTTTGAGCCTCTGGATCAGGTGGACCTGAAGTGGGTCTCATTTAAGACTGCTTCCCTTTTGGTCAAGGCTTCAGGCGATCTACAGGCTCTGTCCATCAGTGAGTCCTGTTGCATTTCTTTCCAATGGTATTTTCTTCTGCAGGTAACACCCTTCCGCTCCAGTTGGCCCGGTTTGGCATTGAGGCCTCTACAGAACCTCTTTGTCCTGTCCGCGCTCTGGAAGTTTACATGAGGGTCACAGCGAATGTTGAGGATCTGAGCGACTGTTTGTCTGTTACGCCGGCTCAAGGATAGGTCTGGCTCTTTTGAAGCAGCGTCTTGCCAAGTGGGAGGTGGAGGCCATTAACCAGAGCTATGTCTCTGAGGACCGTCAAACACCGTGTGAAGTGAGATGCCATTCAACCTGGAGCCTGTTTACCTCCTGGGCAGACTTCACCATCAATTTTTGCCTGGTTCTACAGGGTCAACGCTGTAGTGTCCAATCCATTTGAGGGAGTTCTGAGGCAGCACCCTTCCACATCATGAAGTCGGCGTTAATTTAAGTTAAAGGGTGTATATAGGATTTTTTTTAGGGAAGAGAAATACAGCAACTGTCCTTATGCATGCGTGACACCACCTTCCTCCTCCACAGCTCCCTCAGTAGAAACATCTCCTCCCGCCTCTTTACTCTAGAAAACACGCTTGTTTACATCCAGTGGCGTTCAGAATTACTGAAGTGACCTGTCTAGGTGTAATTTAGCGACCAGTGCATCAGTTTTTAGACCCTTCGTCTGCTTCAGTCACGCCATCGCTGGAAGGAATCTCCAAGAATCACCTCAGTTTGTCTTTGCTTCTTTTCCACTTCTCTTCTTCTTTCAGCGACCTCAAAAACCGACTTTCTTTTGCGGTGAACTGATTGTGGATTCTCTTCTGCCTTCGCAACAAACTTTGTGCAAAATGTGAGGAAGCTACAGTTAGAAAAAGCCTCTAAGAACCGCTGCATAAACCACATAATCCCGGTGAGTCAGTTACACTAGAAACGTAGGGAGTTTGATTGACAACCTGACAGCCAATAGAAAATGAGGCAGCCTCATTTTCTATTGGCTGATGTTTATCTGGCCTCACTACATCCACAGTTGATAGATTTTCATTCTTGTTTTTTTTTTTTGTAATCTTAATGTCAAGGCTGCTGCGTCTCTGTAATGGTATTTTAAACTTTCATTGACAATTTGAAACAAAAAAAACAAAAAAAAAATCCTCCATACAACCTTTAATCGAATTATGACTATTGCACACGTTTGGCTCTTTGTTTACATGATGGTTGCCATGGGAAACATTTATGATATTTACGGTTGTGTCCAAATGTCCACTCTAGTACCTAACCCGTAATTCACTGCACAGGCCCGCACTCTTTAGCGCCCCCTACAGTCTCACTCACAGAGGCTACGTTCAGACTGCAGCCTGAAGTGACCCAAATCCGATTTTTTGGCCTGTATGTGATCTTTTAATGACAGTCTGAACCACACAGATTAGATTTTTTCAAATGTGACCCAGGACACTTGGATATGTGCTCCTGAAACTGATACATATCTGATCTTTTGACATGTGACTTCAGTGTGAACGGCCAAAGCACATTCATCCACCTACACGTTATCAACAAGACACAAATGTCACTATTCTGCGCTGAAGTAGGCGAAAATTGTTAATAAAGTCCGTGTGACTGAAGTGAAGCACATCACCACTCACCACTCTTGGCTCCATCTCCACATCCACACGTTCCTTTCAACGGACTGAACCACAAAACACCACGACCAAAAACCTCGTCCTTCTCCTTCTCAATCTCAAGTAAGTTGTTCATGTTCTGGCTCCGGTACGAGAGGAACTTTAAAATCTCCAGGTGCTCGATGCTGCGTCCATGTTTGGACAACTTCTGTAAACACAGAGCACGCTCGCTGTGGTTGACGTCGAGTCTCCAGTGTCACATGTGGGACACTTTTGGGCCTTTTAAAGTTCACACTGGAGACACATACAAGTCACATTTAACTGGAAATGTGAACGACCTCGCAAAAACATCGGATTTCACACAAAAAAATCTGAACTGAGCGTTAAGCCCTGCAGTCTGAATGTAGTCAGAGAGACTCGGACTCACAGCTCACTCCACTGTTTTCACCAATGACATTTAAGTTGTAGGCGATTTTATATTTGTTATTTTTTTATATTTCACGTCGGGAGAAGAATTTCCAAGACATGAATGTGTTTTTACCTGAGCACTGCTGCCTCTGTTCTACTGGTTCTTCCGCCTCGTCCATTGTGCGACTGACGCCGCCAAAGTTAACATGACGTTTACGTTAAAAAAATTTAGAAATGTGTTTTTTGTGTGTGTTGTTGTCCCAACAACACATAAAAACAGTTTTTATAATAAAGCAACTCACATACAGAAACAGTAAAGTTAGAGATTAAATGAGATTAACGCGATTAAAAAACATAACGCGCTAAATATGACTGTAATTAATTAATCGCATTTATTGTTGATTTTTTCCCATTGTTCTTGAGACGTGCATATCTCTGTTTGAATTATGATGAACTGGAAACTTGTCTTATTAGTCCTTTTGCCGACTAGAAAACCAGAACTGAAAGTAGTTTTATTTTTTTGCTGGTACAGTTACATTTTTGTTTACATCCATTTCACATAATGATTATTATTTTTCTTCTGATTATTGTTTCAAAGTAAACTACTCTCATTTAATGTCATACTGAGAGAAAATCAAACTGCTCTGAGGCCTCGACCATTCGTGGCACTGAGGGCAGTCGGTTGAGGGCCCCTCCAGGTTTGGGGGCTTCAGGCAGCGGCTTACTTTTGCCTTATGGTAGCACCGCCTCTGACGCACAGAACACACTCACCATCATCATCATCATCATCATTATCCCTCTGTCACAGAGAGAACACTCATATTCCACAGTCTTGCTCCTGTTTGGCTCGTTGTTCACCCTGACGCCCTGGATCAGTGTGAAACAGAACCATAAACTGATTCAGTCCTGGTCCAATCCTGGTTCTCGGACATGTTCCTCAGGGTGCTGCTCCTGTCCCTCTGGTGTTGGGGTGAGTTCTGACTCTTCTTCTTCACAGACTTTGATGTAAAATGATGACGATGGTTTTATTTACAGAGTGATCTCTTCTGCCAGTCTTAAGACAATTATTCATATAATTAAACTAAAATAAAACTCAAATCTGACCTGGATCATGGTTCTCATCCCAGCGCTGGCATCGCGTCAGTATTTCTGTTTAAAAGCTCCACACGGTGTCTGTGGTTTTACTCTAACACCTGTTTCGAGACTGAAACACTGGGAGAGACTAAAAGTGTCTCGGGGGCATCAGTTTAAACAGGGACTCCCAGACTTCCTACACCTCAGACACTTCCTCCAGCTCCTCCTGGGGAGACCCCGAGGTGTTCCCAGGCCAGTACAGAGACACAGTCCCTCCAGCGTGTCCTGGGTCTTCCCTGGGGCCTCCTCCCGGTAGAACATGAACACCTCCTGAGGGAGACGCCCAGGAGACATCAGAACAGACGTCCTCCCCTCAGATGCTCCTCTCCAGGTGGAGGAGCAGCAGCTCTACTCCGAGCTCCTCCCATGTGACCAAGCTCCTCACTCTATCTCTAATGGAGCGTCCGGCCGCCCTGCGGAGGAAACTCATTCGTGTCGCTTGTATCGTGGATCTGGTCCTTCGGGTCATGATCCAGAGCTCATGACCATAGGTGAGGGGTGGAATGGAGACTGATGCTAAATCGAGACTCAGCTCCTCTTCACCACACGGTCTGATACAGCAACCGCATCACTGCCGACGCTGCACCTGTCCACCTGTCAATCTCACGCGCTGAGGCCGCTAAAAGTGTCGGCTCTGTATGTGTGTAAACAAACAGCTCCGTGTGCTGACGTCACCGGGCCATGGCTCTGTTCAGTTATGCAGGTGTGAGTATGGAACATAGAACTCTACTCAATGGCCCTTGTGCACGGCACGGATCTAAAGTCCACGTGTGAGTTGCCCTTAAACTTCAGGAAGGAGTTTAGCTTTGGTCAGACTCGGGCTTATTTCTGTCATGGAATAAGTTGAAGTTTAAACTGGAGTTGGAGTTTGAGCTCAGGATTTCAGGATAAACGTGGATTTGTTAATCCCCAGGAAAACCTGTGACATCACAGTGTGGCTAAATAAATAAATACAGAAGTGAGTAAATTGTGCTTTTTCATCTGAGATAAAGAGATAAATCTGTGAATTCCATTCAGTTCAAGTTTATTTATATAGAACATTTAAAACAACTTCAGCTGACCAAAGCTTCACATAAAAGTCAACAAGAACAGAAGAAACAGACACAGTCACAGAAAACACAATAAAAACAATACATGTGAAAACTACAATAAAACTCCAAGACAACAGCTCGTATTAAACGTCAGGGAGAAGAGGTGAGTTTCAGTCTTGTCTTAAACTGCGTTACAGACTGAGAGGATCTGACAGGAAGAGGAAGGCTGGTCCACAGTCCGGGCGCTGCCACAGAAAAGCCTCTGTCACCTCTTGTCTTGAGTCTAGTTTTGAGTTGGACCAACAGGAGCTGGTCTGATGTCAGGGCTCTGGTCGGAGGACAGGGCTGCAGTGACTCCCTCAAACAGACTGGACCCATTGAGTGTGAACATGTGAAGTACAGAGACGTCACGCTGCACCAAACTCTCTTCTGTCCCTGTGGTTTAAGCCTCGGGATCTAAAAACGACCCATTCAGGTCACAGGGCTGAGCTCACTGCTGCATGTCTCCAGATTTTCCGTTAGTGGTGAGGTATTTCCGGTGGCTCTGCCTATTGCATATGGGCAGCAGAGCTCTTTTCTCCCGCTGCACACGTCAATGCACACGAGTGTGTGCAAGGAGCACAGGCTCCCGTGATCACTTTGACCAATCAGAGCGAGAGGAGCAGAGCGGAGCTGGAGCGAACGATTCAAAAGTTGTTTTTGAAACAACTAAAGGATTCTGATCTGAGAAAAATCTAATAATCTGAAAATAGGTAAAAATCACCACAAAATCTGAAATTTTTGAAAGTTGTAGGTACCTGTCAGCCGAACATGAGCAGTTTGTGATTACGTTGCCTCTGTGAGAAAAATCCTCTCTGGGATTTTTTTGCTGTGGCACCAGTGAGAATCACTACGTCAACTCCAGACAGATAAAAGCAGCAACACCTCCAGTTATTTTATCACATCAATGTTTAAGGCTCAGAACAACGGCCATTTTGTGCACAGCTTTGTGTCATGTGACCAACAGACGCCATTTTGTAACATGAACTCTGTGTGCAGGGCTCCGGGGAGAAAACAACAGCCCAGGAGGTAAGAACCACTCAGCAACACACTCACACAGACCAGGAATCTAACCCACAACCTCCTCACTGAGAGGAGGTTCACTCTGTGTCTTGTCTGTTCAGCGCTCAGGCTGGTGGAAGGCGTCAATCGCTGTGTTGGGATTCTGGAGGTGAAACACAGAGGAGTGTGGAGACGGGTGGAGGAGTCCGACAGACGCTGGGACCAGGAGCACACAGCTGCTGTGTGCAGAGAATTGGACTGTGGCTCTGCTGTTTATGGAGAACAGAGAGGTCATTTTGCATTGAGTCATGCGTGGATTGTCTCATCTGACTGTGTGAAGACGTCTCCAGTGAGAAGATGCGTCTCTGGTTCCTCTATCTCTCTCCGTGGTGTGGACGTGATGTGTTCAGGTAAAAATCTGATCTTGCATTTTTATGTCTCTCTGTTTTTTCTAGTTGCACCAGACACACACACAAACAGATACACACACACACACACACACACACACAGACACACACAGAGACACATGTGAGTGAAACCAGGGAGTTTCAAACATTTACTCTTGTGTTTTATGACATTTGTTTTAAAAGGATCCCCGGCTCCTCTGACGCTGCTCTGATATATTTAACGTTGGCGTCAGTTATAAAAACGTAATATCAAAAAACTCTAATATGTTGATTTGTAGTATTTTTATTTATAAAAAAGGATAAAATACGATCACTAGTAGTTCATCATATTTGTTTACTTTGTAAAGCCTTCTGGGTCGTGTCGTCAGGTTGTTGCTTGAACACGAACATGGTTCTGTTCAGCCTTTTCAGTCTGAACCTGAGCGCACATCGAGTCTGGAGAACAACTCGGCTGACAATACTGTAAATGATTCTTACTTAGGATAATTAGGATGTTCCTGGTCGTGGGCTGATCGCCCCTGAGACCAGATGTGTAGTCTTCAGTTCCTTTGTACATGTATACTCTAACTTTTTACAGACTTAGTTGTTACGCATGTGCAAGTGTGCGGTTTGCAAGGCATGCTTCCCAGGTCAGCGTCCCACTGGAATTTCCATGGGTGATTTTTCCTCTTTCTAAAAGAGGCGACACAAACAGACACAAAAATAAAACGCCAGAACGTCTGATTCTGAGCTTTGCCTGTGACATATAGACTCTGGTTCTCCCGTGTGTGCGGCGCCCCCTGGTGGTGACTCTCACACTCCTGTATAGTTTTAGTTTCTAATATGACAAACAAAATGAATAAAACATTTTTATCTGAATTTGAATCGGCCATGTCATGTGACCAACGGACGCCATTTTGTAACATGAACTCTGTGTGCAGGGCTTCGGGGAGAAAACGACAGCCCAGGAGGTAAGAACCACTCAGCAACACACTCACACAGACCAGGAATCTAACCCACAACCTCCTCACTGAGAGGAGAGTGTGTTTGTGTGTTTGTTCAGGTAAAGGGGCGGGGCTTCACTCTGTCTCTTGTCTGTTCAGAGCTCAGGTTGGTGGGCGGGGCCAGTCGTTGTTCTGGGACTGTGGAGCTGAAACATAAAGGAGTGTGGAGACGAGTGTTTGACTCCGATATGAGCTGGGACCAGAAGGCCACAGCTGCTGTGTGCAGAGACCTGGACTGTGGCTCTGCTGTTTATGGAGAACAGACATATAAATTTCCAAGTCGTCCTATGTGGCAGATCTCATCTCACTGTGTGAAGAAGTCTTCAGTGAGAGAATGTGTCTCTGGTTTATACTCCTTTTCCTGGGGTCTGGAGGTGCTGTGTTCAGGTAAAAGTCTGATCTTACATTTTTATTTTTCTCAGAAAGAGAGACAGAAAGACACACACAGAGAGAGAGAGGACAGTAGGTCTTGTGTTTTACCTTGTGAAGTTGTGGGAGCGGCGGTGGGCTGGTGTGGGCTCATTGCCCCACAGCTCAGCCACCGTGTGTTGGAGTTCACCCCAGTGAATAAGAGGGTCGCGTCCCTGCGCCTTCGGGTCGGGGACAGGTCTCTCACTGTGGTGTCGGCCTATGGGCTGAACAGCAGTGCAGAGTACTCGGCCTTCTTGGAGTCCCTGGGAGGGGTACTAGACTCCGTTGTTCTACTGGGGGACTTCAGAGCCCATATGGGCAATGACAGTGACACTTGGAGAGGGGTGATTGGGAGGAACGGCCTCCCTGATCTGAACCCGAGCGGTGTTCTGTTACTGGACTTCTGTGCTAGTCACAGTTTGTCCATAACAAACACCATGTTCCAGCACAAGTGTGTCCATAAGTGCACGTGGCACCAGGACGCCCTAGGCTGGAGGACGATGATCGACTTTGTAGTCGTGTCATCTGACCTCCGGCCACGTGTCTTGGACACTCGGGTGAAGAGAGGGGCTGAGCTGTCAACTGATCACCACCTGGTATGAGTTGGGTTCGCTGGCGGAGGAGGAAGTCGGAAAGACCTGGCAGGCCCAAGTGTGTAGTGAGGGTCTGTTGGGAACGTCTGGCGGAGCCCTCTGTCAGAGGGACCTTCAACTCGCACCTCTGGGAGGACTTTTCACAAATTCCGGAGAAGCTGGAGACATGGAGTCTGAGTGGGCTTCATTCTCCACCTCTATTGTCGATGCAGCCGCTCGGAGCTGTGGGCGTAAGGTCTGTGGTGCCTGTCACGGTGGCAATCCCCCAACCCAGTGGTCGACACCAGAAGTATTCAGGCTGAAGAAGGAGTCCTATCGGGGCTTGTTGGCTCGTGGGACTCCTGAGGCAGCCGATGGGTACTGACGGGCCAAATATAAAATCTTGATCTGTTTTTATATATTCTGTGAAAACTGTAGGTCAAGTCAATGAGAATTGCTAAAATTATTGGCCTGTGAAATAATGCCAAATTTTCTGGGACACCCTGTTTATCTGATGTCACATGTGTGTCCACAGAGTCGGTGCGGTTGGTCTCGGGGTCCAGTCTGTGTTCAGGATTAGTGCAGATCTGGGAAGGGTCCTGGACCTGGGTCTGTGATGGGGACTTGGACCAGCGGGGGGCAGAGGTGCTGTGCAGGGAGCTGGGCTGTGGGGCTCCTTCTCTCCTCCAGGGGGCGCTGTCTCCTCTGGGGCAGACGTTCCACTGTGAGGGCCATGAGTCTGCTCTGATGGACTGTCCCCGCTCCAACTCAAGCACCTGCTCCTCTGGAACCACTGTCAACCTCACCTGCTCAGGTAAAGGGGCGGGGCCTCACTGCTCAGGTAAAGGGGTGGAGCCTCACTGCTCAGGTAAAGGGGCGGGGCCTCACTATTCAGATAAAGGAGCGGGGCTTCACTCTGTCTCTTGTCTGTTCAGAGCCGCTCAGGTTGGTGGGAGGAGCCAGTCGCTGTGCTGGGACTCTGGAGGCGAGACTCAGAGGAGAGTGGAGACGAGTGTTTGATCGTTCATTACTCTGGGACCAGGAGGACACAGCTGCTGTGTGCAGAGCCCTGGACTGTGGCTTTGCTGTTCATGGAGAACAAGTATTTGGAGGTACTTTTGTCTCATTAATATTCACAAATACACAGAGGGTGATGTACAAACAGTCATTGGTTTGTTCATGTGTTTTGATCCACAAATGTAAATTTAATATTTGTAACTTATATTTTGGTCTTTACAGATAGATGTGTATTTGTAATTGGGTCCGGTCAAGTGTTAACGGAGGGAAACGGGCAGATTTTTGACATTCAAATGTCTCTTATTCAGAAACTAGAGGGACTATTGAAATAAGTAAAGTATCAGAATGTAGGAAAGAGTTACACTCCAACAGGGTCAAGTTAAACCTGTGATATTCTTTCAAGTTGTTGACAAAAAATTAAAAAACTCATGTCGGTAACGGAGGGAATAAAATATGCAGCATTTTTGGGGCAATAAATCCAAACAGTGATAACTCTTGGTTCTCACTTCCATATCCTTAACAAACTGGTTTGAATATTTGCTTCATATAGTTTTCTACCATATGGTACAAGATTAGGTTGAAAAACCTCTGACTTTTTGAGTCATGAGATTTTTTATTAAGAAAGATCATGGTAACGGAGGGAAAATTGTGCAAACAAGTAGAAGGTGCATGATTTTACATCATTTGTCAGCTTTTTTCTTCCAAATATTTTAATATTACTTCAAAATGAAAGGAACCTATTTCTATAAAATATGTCAGTCCTTCCAAGCAAATTTTTTATCATTTTTATTTTATTTTTTTGGGGAAAAATCATGTACCTTCATCAACAGTTCAAAGATGGAATAACACAAGATATGATGAAATACATCCATTTATTTACATGATTTGCAGGTCTTAATAATTTATAATAATAATAATAATTTTTGTTCCATGTTTCATACATGGTCTGTTTAAAACATATGGAACTTTAGAACCAAAAATGGTCCAGAAAAAAGGTCAACAGTTTCTACTACTACTACTCTGCTTGACTGGGCCCAAATATATCTTTTTCATTTGAAAAAAAAATATTTCATTTCTAAAACTGAAAATACTGTCTGTAAAATGTGCATTTGTGGATCATCAGTTAAACAAATTCACAGATTTCCAGTATGACGAAATTTTGAGACACTCACAATCACTGACCTCTACTGTAAATACTGTCCTCTAGAGATCTGAACCGGGACTGAACCAGGACACCCTGCTCCATGAGCTCGGGGTTCTCTCTCTTTCTCTCAAGTCCAAGATTAGTCCTGGTTTAGTTCTGATTTAGTCCTGGTTCTCTCTCTGTCCAATCACGGGTCTGAATTCGGTGACACCAACTCAAAATCTGATTGGTTGAAGCAACAGTTTCATGGACATTTCTTTAGTGTTTGAGGTTTTGCAGAACGGATTGTGAAGGCCTCAGACTTCTGTTACTTTGACTCTACCTGGCAACAGATGATGTCTGAAATGTGATTGGTCAAATGCTTTAATATGAAAATCCATGTCAGGAATCTGTCTGCATAAAACAGAATCTAAATGTGTGAGGCTGTGATGGCGTCAGCTGTTTCCTGTCTCCGGTAAAACTAGTCGCTCTGAGACTCTTAAGTTTTCAAAGATCAGACTCTGCACTTCTGGTTTAGATCCAAGTCGAGACTGTGTGATTATTATTTGTGAAATGTGGAGCAAAACTTCAGATACAGGATTTTCAAAGCATAAAAGATTGGAGATAAAATTCACAGGAAGTAGAGTCACTGTGGAGAATCTGCAGCTTCAGTTCGATCTGTAAACAAACACACGTGAGGAACTACTCCCACCTTTTTACTTTTAAATAACACCTCAAACTGGATTCACGGTTTTGTGGACTGAGGTCATTATTTGTGTTGGACAAATTCTGTGAATAATGTGGATGAGACACTACACTTTAAATTTACCATTTTACGAGACATGAGGAATAAAGTCTAATTATTGAGCTGGTGCAGTGAACTTGATTGGTTATTTATTTATTTAGGCTGTATGATGTTCTCCACAGATACATGACCAAATGAATGAAGCACAAAGGCCCATGCAGCCTCCGTTTTAGATGAGATATTTTCCCGAAGTCTGGCCTGTGCTCTTTTTTAAACTGCATGACGGCTCAGTGAGGACATTTTCTCACCGTCTGATCTCCTCTGTGGCCCAACTTTTCTCAATGAGAAAATGATACATGGGACCGTAAAGTGTTTGAGAAATAGTGAAATTACTCCTGTGTCAAATGTCTGAGTTTGTGGATGTGTCTGAGTTTGTGGACGTGTCTGAGTTTGTGGATTTCTCAAAACGAGTGTCTCAAAATTACTGTGCATTTGTGAATATTAATAGACAAAATTATCTCCATAGATATATTTTTGGAAGCAAAACCTGTGTGGGAGCTCGCACGTTACTGTGTGAAGAAGTCTTCAGTGAGAGGGTGTGTCTATCTTTCAGAGCCCGCCTCTCACTGGAGTCTGGAGATGAAATGTTCAGGTAAAAGTCTGATCTCACATTTTTATTTCTCTGATATGTTTTTTTTCCAGTTGCTCCAGAGGAGAGTCGGGTGTAAAATGTGACGTCCAGTCAGAGTTTAGTAGGTAGAAATAGATCTTGTGTTGAACTTATGACGTTGTAGTTTCTCGTTTTATTCAAATCAAACAGAACATTAGACACACACACGTCTCACAACAGTAAAATAAATATTTAACACACATATATATCTGCACTACAGCGGTGATGTCACATGTGTGTCCACAGAGTCGGTGCGGTTGGTCTCGGGGTCCGGTCTGTGTTCAGGATCAGTGCAGATCTGGGATGGGTCCTGGACCGGGGTCTGTGATGGGGACTTGGACCAGCGGGGGGCAGAAGTGCTGTGCAGGGAGCTGGGCTGTGGGGCTCCTTCTCTCCTCCAGGGGGCGCTCTCTCCTCTGGGGCAGACGTTCCACTGTGAGGGCCATGAGTCTGCTCTGATGGACTGTCCCCGCTCCAACTCAAGCACCTGCTCCTCTGGAGCCACTGTCAACCTCACCTGCTCAGGTAAAGGGGCGGGGCCTCACTGCTCAGGTAAAGGGGCGGGGCCTCACTGCTCAAGTAAAGGGGCGGGGCTTCACTCTGTCTCTTGTCTGTTCAGAGCCGCTCAGGCTGGTGGGAAGAGTCAGTCGTTGTGCTGGCACTGTGGAACTGAGCCTCAGAGGAGAGTGGAGACGGGTGTATGGGATGTATAGCCACTGGGACCAGGAGGCTACATCTGTTGTGTGCAGAGCCCTGGACTGTGGTGCTCCTGTTTTCGGAGAACACAGAGGTGGTTTTCCATGGAGAGTTGTGTGGCTGTTCTCATCTGAGTGTGCGAAGAAGTCTTCAGTGAAACAATGTTCTACTGGTTCATTCTCCACTTCCTGGGGTGTGGAGGTGAAGTGTTCAGGTAATAGTCTGATAAGATAAGTTATAAAACACACAGACATTAATGTCTAAACTGCTGGCAACAAAAGTGAGTACCCCCCTAAGTGAAAATGCCCATACTGGGCCCAATTAGCCATTTTCCCTCCCCAGTGTCATGTGACTTGTTCATGTTAGAAGGTCTCAGGTGTGTAAGGTGAGGTATGTTGAATTTGGTGTTATTGCTCTCACACTCTCACATACTGGTCACTGGAAGTTCAACATGGCACCTCATGGCAAAGAACTCTCTGAGGATCTGAAAAAAAGAATTGTGCTCTACATAAAGATGATCTAGGCTCTAAGAAGATCACCAACACCCTGAAACTGAGCCACAGCACGATGGCCAAGACCATACAAGGATTTAACAGGACAGGTTCCACTCAGAACAGGCCTCGCCCTGGTCAGCCAAAGAAGTTAAGTGCACATACTCAGTGTCATATCCAGATGTTGTCTTGGTAAATAGACGTATGAGTGCTGCCAGCGTTGCCTCAGAGGTTGAAGGAGTGGGGGGTCAGTCTGTCAGTGCTCAGACCACACGCCGCACACTGCATCAAACTGGTCTGCGACGGCTTCCTTCCTAAAGATGATGCACAAGAAAGAGCACAAACAGTTTGCTAAAGACAAGTAGACTAAGGACATGGATTACTAGAAGCATGTCCTGTGGTCTGATGAGACCAAGATAAAACTGTTTGGTTCAGATGGTGTCAAGTGTGTGTGGTGACAACCAGGTGAGGAGTACAAAGACAAGTGTGTCTTGCTACAGTCAAGCTCGGTGGTGAGAGTGTCATGGTCTGGAGCTGCATAAGAGCTGCCAGCACTGGAGAGCTACAGTTCAGTGAGGGAACCATGAATGCCAACATGTACTGTAGCATACTGAAGCAGAGCATGATCCCCTTCCTTTGATAACTGGGCCACAGGACAGTATTCCAACATGATAACGACCCCAAACACACCTCCAAGATGACCTTTGCCTTGCTAAAGAAGCTGGGGGTAAACGTGATGGAGTGGCCCAGCATGTCACCAGACCTAAACCTTATTGAGGCTCTGTGGGGGGGTCCTCAAATGGAAGGTAGAGGAGAGCAAGGTCTCTGACATCCACCAGCTCTGTCATGTTGTCATGGAGGAGTGGAACAGGATTCCAGTGGAAACATGTGAAGCTCTGGTGAACTCCAGGCCCATGAGGGTTAAAGCAGTGCTGGAAAATAATGGTGGCCACACAAAATATTGACACTTTGGGCCCAATTTGGGTATTTTCACTTAGGGGTGTACTCACTTTTGTTGCCAGCAGTTTAGACATGAATGTCTGTGTGTCGAGTTGTTTTGAGAGGACAGTAAATTTACACTGTTATACAAGCTGTACACAGAATACTTCACATTGTATCAAAGTGTCATTTCTTCAGTGTTGTTCCATGAAAAGATATAATTAAATATTTGCAGAAATGTGAGGGCTGTACTCACTTTTGTGAGATACTGTATATCCCCTGTATGTGCTGAAATTTGCAATAAGGGACACCATGCTTGGCTCAGTTCATCAGCAAAAGTCTTTAGCAGGAAAGCTGAGATCCCATCTGGCCCTTTGGCCTTTTGGTGTCAAGTCTTTTAAAAATAGTGCTGACCTCCCCGGGATCAACCAGAAGCCATCCATCCATCCATCCATTTTCTTCCGCTTTATCTGGGGCCGGGTTGTGGAGGCAGCAGTCTAAGCAGGGACTCCCAGACTTCTCTTTCCACACACACTTCCTCCAGCTCTTCCGGGGGACCCCGAGGTGTTCCCAGGCCAGCCAAGAGACGTAGTCCCTCCAGCGTGTCCTGGGTCTTCCCCGGGGCCTCCTCCCGGTGGTACATAAACACCTCCTGAGGGAGGCGCCCAGGAGGCATCCGAAACAGATTCTCCTCTCCAGTCCCTGGCATAGACTTTACCGGGAAGACTGAGGAGTGTGATTCCCCTGTATTTGGAACACACCCTCTGGTCCCCCTTCTTATACAGGACCACCACCCCCGGTCTGCCAGTCCAGAGGCACTGTCCCTGACCACCATGCGATGTTGAAGAGGCGTGTCAGCCAAGACCCACAACATCCAGAGACTTAAGATACTCAAGACGGAGCCACCGAGGAGCTTTAACCACCTTAGTGACTTCAGCCAGGGTGATGGATGAGTCCACCTCTGAGTCCCCAGTCTTGGCTTCCTCCTCGGAAGACGTGAAGGTGGAATTGAGGAGATCCTCAAAGTTTTCCTTCCACCGTCCAACAACGTCCCCAGTCGAGGTCAACAGTTCTCCCCCCGCACTGTAAACAGTGTTGCTGAAGAACTGCTTCCCCCTTCTGAGGCGCCGGACGGTTTGCCAGAATCTCTTTGAAGCTGTCCGATAGTCCTCCTCCATGGCCTCCGCAAACTCCTCCTGGCTCAGAGTTTTTGCCTCTGTGACCACACGGGCTGCAGCACACTTGGCCCGTCAGTACCCGTCAACTGTCTCAGGAGTCCCACGAGCCAACAAGGCCCGATAGGACTCCTTCTTCAGCTTGACGGCATCTCTTACTTCCGGTGTCCACCCCAGGTTTGGGGATTGCCGCCACAACAGGCACCACAGACCTTATGCCCACAGCTACGAGTGGCTGCATTGATAATAGAGGCCAAGAATGAAGCCCACTCGGACTTCATGTCCCCAACTTCTCCCGGGATCTGGGAGAAGCTCTCCCGGAGGTGCGATTAAAAATCCTGCTGATAGAGGCTCTGCCAGACTTTCTCAACAGACCCTCATGATACGCTTGGACCTGCCAGGTCTTTCCAGCTTCCTCTTCCATCAGCGGATCCATCTCACAACCAGGCAGTGATCAGTTGACAGCTCAGCCCCTCTCTTAGGTCGGACAGCTCCACGACCCAAAGGTGCAGGGATGTGACCTTCTCGTTCACTTGGGGTGAACTCCAACACATGGCGGCTGAGCTGTGGGGCTATAAACAAGCCCACGCCAGCCCGCTGCCACTCCCTGTGGACAACACCAGAAAAATGGAGTGTCCAACCCCTCTCAAGAAGTTGGGTTCCAGAGCCCAAGCTGTGCGTAGAGATGAGCCCGACTATATCTAGCCGGTACCTCTCAACCTCCCGCACAAGCTCAGGCTCCTTCCCCTGTGAGGTGGCGTTCCATGTCCCTACAGCCAGGTTCTGTGCCCGTGGACTAGGTTGCCGAGGCCCCTGACCCCAACTGCTGCCTTGTTCACTTTGCACCCGACCCTATGAAATCCTCTGTGGGTGGTGAGTCCACGAGAGGGCGGGCCCACGTCATCCCTTCAGGCTGAGCCCGGCCACCAGGCGCTCGCTTTCGAGCCCCAGTCCCAGGTCTTGCTCCAGAGTGGGGCCCCGGCTGTGCCATACAGGGCGACATTATGGTCCTTGTTGTTTTTCTATTCATAGGGCTTTATGAACTGCTCTTAGTCTGACCCGTCACCTAGGAGCTGTTTCTCATGGGAGACCCTACCAGTGGCATAATGCCCCGGGCACCATAGCTCCTAGGTTCATTCGGGTACACAAACCCCCCCGACTACGGTAAGGTAACGGTTCAAGGGGGAGTCAACCAGAAGCTTGTGGATTCAGCTCAAAGTGACCTAGTGAGCATTCAAACTGGTTCTAAAAACATTTAATTCATTGGCCTTCTCATATTAATTTACAACACGCAGGAAGCCCGTCTTTGATTTGAAGTTTTTTATGTCTTTAACAGCATTCCAGAGTTGTTTTGAGTCTCTGGTATTAAGAGCTTCCCTGACCCTCTTGTTATTCTCATCCCTCACTTCCTTGATTTTCTTCCTAAGTTCTTGGTCAATATCTTTAAATTCAAAGTATATTGTTGTTCTTAAATGCTTCTTTTTTCAGGTGTATGCAGTTTTAAATAATATTATATAATCTTTATAATTTGGATACATTTTAATGTCTTTTTTAAGGAATTATACAGTCAATGCAGAAGAGAATGGTTTGCTCCTCTTCAAAGCAGGTTTGTAGGTTGGAATTAAAAAGACAGACGTGTGGTCAGAGTTTGACAGTGGTGGAATAACTTGGGCAGCGTAGGCGTCACTAATGTTTCCATAACACTTGTCTAGACTCTTATCCTTTCTTCTGCCCAATTTAATGTACTGAAGAAAACAGGAAGTGTGTATTCAAGGAAACAATGATTGAAATCTCCCAGAATTCCAATTGGAACTTGATACTCAGTTGCTGATGGACACAATCTGCAGTTAGGGAAGCAGCTTTAGGTGTGTTTCCACTAGGAGGAACATACTGTATATGGCACAAATGAAAGTCTTGTGGTAGATAGAAGGGCCTTAAGCTTAAATATAAGAGCTCCACATCTGGAGAACATATGCTAGCCTTTGTGGAATAGTTGTTACACCAGGATTCGTTGATAAAAATGCATATTCTCCCGCCCTTACTTTTCCAAAGTTTGACTTGGGGTCCATACGTACAGTTAAAAAGTCTTGTACCTGAGAGAATTGGTCTGGATAATCCTCTTGGAACCAAGTTTCTGTGTAGACCAGAAGACAAGACTCACGATACTCATGGCAAACTCTGACGTTGATGCCCAGCTCATCAATTTTATTCCTCAAGGAGTGAGCATTGCTGAGCAGGATAGATGGTAGCTGCGGCTTGTTGCTCCTGGAGTCGGTGTCGTATGCTGCCTCTCCTTCCTCATCACGGACCTCGTTTGCTCACTCGTTGTTATAATGGTCCTCATGTAGACACCATTCTGCGTGACCCATTTCCATTACCTCAACAAACATTAAACAAACAGAAATAAAGCATATAGTGCCTCCACTTTACCCAAGTCAACGAAAGATTACATTTGTATGTCGCACAAAATCAGATCATTAGACACACACACATCTCACAACAGTAATATAAATATTTACCACACATACACACTACCAGTCAAAAGTTTTAGAACACCCTGGTTTTTCCAGTTATTTATTGCAAATCAAGTTGTGCAAGGCCAATAAAGAACTTGAAATGGTCCAAAAGTAAAAACTGAACAGACAGAGGTTTAAAAAAAAGATAAAAGATACAAAATACAAGTCCAAGCTCTCATCTACAAGATGGTAAAACTTGAAAACCTGGAGTGTCCAGACTTAAACCCATGGAGCTGGTTTGGGATGAACTGGACTGAAGAGTGAAACAACCGACAAGTGCCACACATTTATGGAAACTTCTGCAACAGACTTGGGAAGAACTTTCTGAACAATATTTGATTTCTATTGTAAAAAGAACAAGCCACGGGTGTGTTCAGCTGTTCTATCTGACAAAGGTCGACACTTTCATGAGTAAAAAGTTTAGAATACATTTTGGTTTATAAATTGATTCCATAATTTCTTTTTCAACTCAAATTGTTTATTTGTTCTATGTTTTCATTTCAGACACAACAAACTGAATAATTTTCAGTCAGAAACTGTAAAAAGTGTGTTCTGAAACTTTTGACTGATACTGTACATCTGCACTACAGCGGTGATGTCACATGTGTGTCCACAGAGTCGGTGCGGTTGGTCTCAGGGTCCAGTCTGTGTTCAGGATCAGTGCAGATCTGGGAAGGGTCCTGGACCGGGGTCTGTGATGGGGACTTGGACCAGCGGGGGGCAGAGGTGCTGTGCAGGGAGCTGGGCTGTGGGGCTCCTTCTCTCCTCCAGGGGGCGCTCTCTCCTCTGGGGCAGACGTTCCACTGTGAGGGACATGAGTCTGCTCTGATGGACTGTCCCCGCTCCAACTCAAGCACCTGCTCCTCTGGAGCCACTGTCAACCTCACCTGCTCAGGTAAAGTTGCGGGGCTTCACTGCTCAGGTAAAGGGGCGGGGCCTCACTGCTCAAGTAAAGGGGCGGGGCTTCACTCTGTCTCTTGTCTGTTCAGAGCCGATCAGGTTGGTGGGAGGAGCCAGTCGCTGTGTTGGGACTCTGGAGGTGAAACTCGGAGGAGAGTGGAGACGAGTGGCTGAACCTTATGGACCCTGGGCCGAGGAGGACACAGCTGTTGTGTGCAGAGACCTGAACTGTGGCTCTGCTGTGCGTGGAGAATGCAGAGATGATTTTCCCCAGAGTCCTGTGTGGAGGATCACACCTTACTGTGTGAGGAATTCTTCAGTGAGAGGATGTGTCATCGATTCCTCCTCCTCCTCTTTCTGGGGTGTGGGGGTGGTGTGTTCAGGTAAAAGTCTGATTTTACATTTTTATGTCTCAGATGTTTTTTCTAGTTTCTCCAGAGGAGTGTCAGGTGTAAAACAACTATTCAACATGATGCATTTGGAATAGTTGGTTTTGACCTGAGTTGGCGTCTCATCAGAAGGACCACACCAGAGTTTGTCATTTAGTGCAGAGTCAAGTGACCGACACCATCTCATTTTTAAGGTCTCGGTCTGTTTGGTTTAGTGCAGATCTGCGTGCGACTGAAGCTTTCACACCAACGAAAACAAACAAAAACAAATCCAACTAAGACCTTTTGGCTTGAATGGAATGTTTGCTGCAAAAACTGCTGTCGGTGTGAAAGAACCCTTGGTCTTGGTCCTGGTCTTGCTTCTGGACTTGGTCCTCATCCTGGTCTTGCTCCTGGTCTTCTTACTGGTTCTCAGTCCTGGTCTTGGTCCTGGTCTTGGTACTGGTTGTTGGTCCTGGTTCTTGGTCTTGGTCCTGGTCTTGGTCTTGGTCTGATCTGGGTTTATTTGTGTTGCAGAGTCAGACTCAGACCTGATCATCAGAGTCGTGGTGATTCTTCTGTTGTAGCTCCTGTACATCCTCCCAATGTCCTACTGCTACCACCTTTAGACCTGGTTTAGTCCTGGTTTAGACCTGGTTTAGACCTGGTTTAGTCCTGGTTTAGACCTGGTTTAGAACTGGTTTAGACCTGGTTTAGTCCTGGTTTGGTCCTGGTTTTCTGACCGGTTGTTGTCCTGTGTCCTGTTGTTTCAGAGGCAGCATTAGGGAGAGGCTCCAGCAGAGAGTGAGACCGGTTCAGAGTTGGTCCAGTTTCAGAAACATCATCATCATCATCATCATCATCATCATCATCATCATCATCATCATCATCATCATCATCACCATCATCATCTTTTATTGTCATTAACTGTTGGAAGTGAAACAATCTTGTGTGGATGTTTGTAATAATTTGTTTATATTCAGTAAATTCTATGAAAAACTAAATCTATGTTTTAAAAGTGTTTTTTCACACTGAGTGCTCGGTGCAAAATGGTTTTTGCATTTGTCCCCTCAGCCAAATAAACCTGGAGTGTCCAAGAGGTAAAAAGAAAAACCACAGAGGGTCTGTTTTTCAGAGGAACAACAACAATGTAAAATTATAAAATTATGTGAAATGATCACATGATTAAACTGTGGAGAAGTGTTCACCACAGCCCCGTCTTCCTCTGTCTGAGCACTTTATTCACGTTATACTTTTTAGACTTTATTGTCATCAGTGCATCAGTCAGACTGTTCTTGGGTCAAATATTGTGTTTCTGAGTTTAGAATAATGCAGGAAAAAAAATACACAAATCATCTCAACAATATTAACCCTTGTAAGGTCTTCGGGTCTGTGGGACCCGTTTTCAGTTTTTAACTTTAGAAAAATTACACAAAGAATTCTTTTTTCAGCCTGAGATTATTTGGCCTTGGCTCATTTTGAGTGAGGAACATGAATCAGAAAAAAAAATTAACTGACCCCCCCTTGCTTCCACCCCCTTCACACTTATATTACATACAGGGTCTTCTGGTCCACTGGACCCGGAGCTACTGAAAGTATGAAAATCATAGCTCCTCATTTCCCCTTTCTCCTCTTTGGGCCTGTGTGTGTGTTGTGTGTGTTGTGTATGTGTTGTGTGTGTGTTGTGTGTGTTTTGTATGTGGTGTGTGTTTTGTATGTGGTGTGTGTTGTGTGTGTTTTGTATGTGGTGTATGTTGTGGTGTGTTGTGTGTGTTTTGTATGTGGTATGTGTTGTGTGTGTTTTGTATGTGGTGTGTGCTGTGTGTGTTTTGTATGTGGTGTGTGTTGTGTGTGTGTTTTGTATGTGGCGTGTGTGTGTTTTGTATGTGGTGTGTTTTGTGTGTGTGTTGTGGTATGTGTTGTGTGTGTTTTGTATGTAGTGTGTGTGTGCACCCAACACTATCTGCACCCACATCTCACCCTCTGTCTGAATGAATAAATGAATGAATCTTGTGGTTCCCATAAACATCTCTGTCAGTGAGAATCTCAATCACAACTGATCATGATGGTGAAGAAATTCTCAGTTCAGACTGAGTTGGAACTGATTCTAGAAGAGACAGAGGGTTTTGATGGTGCAGCTGAGGAACATGTCTCTGAGAATGAAAATCAGATTTGTGAAAATTCAGGGTCAGAGAGTGAGTTTGAAGAGGACGGGGACAGGAGGATGAAGATCAGCCAACAGAGCCAGGAGCAGGAGCAACCATGAGCAGCCAGCAAAACACAAGTGGACCTCAGCCATAGGACCAGTCTGCCAGCAGCTGGTCCAAGGACCAACTTATGAGAGTCGAGCTGGTGAGCAGCCAGACATAGGAGGGAACAATGTATGATTGAGAAAAATTCAGTGGTGTTCCACTTCAAGACAAGGCCTTCACGTGGCTGTCAACATGATACTGAAGGCGCCAGGGCCTACACGCTCGGCAGTCACACATGTAGATGACATCAGGTCTTCTTTTGACATTTTCATGCCACCCCAGATCAAGAACATGATCCTGGACTGCACCAATATAGAAGGAAGGAGTGAGGAAGGGAGGAAGGTTTTTGATTAAACTAATTTAGATGCCTACTTTGAGATTTTTATCCTTGCCAGTGTTTTCCATGTTTTTCTGTGTTTTCATGCACTTCTTATACTTGGTGTTTCACCAAGTGTAAAAAGTACATGTGCAATAGACACAGTGAAACTCTGCCCCTCGTGTGATATATTCTGTCATGAAGATGTCTGTGTTCAGTGGAACTAATGTGTTGTTCAGAGAGATTTTGTGTAAACTCACCTGTGTAAGTTAAATTTCTGCTATAAGATAAATTTCAAATGAATAGTTCACTATATTGTTGTATGAACTTTTTTCGTATGTACATTGTTTGATTATTATCCAGTCATGACTGTTATATGATGCATTTCTTTATTTTGTTCTATTTTAATAACCCTAACCTTTACAAAAACGAGTGGCCTTTTTATTCATTAATGTAATTTAACAAAGGTAAAATGACCAAATTTAACTATAAGTTGTTAATAATCCTTCCAAATGAGATGAATTAAGCATCTGCTGAGAATTTTAACAAAAAAAGGTTTAAATATGATGATGTAAAAGCCCAAAAGTGCAATGGGTCCACCAGACCCAGCAGGACTCCCTGTGTAACAAAAAAACGAAGACCTTACAAGGGTTAAATGACAGTTAAAAATAAAAAACAAAAAATATATAGTTCAGACATAATTTATTTGCAAGACATTTCTCATATTTACACACAGATTCAAATTGACTATTTACAGGATCAATATAAAACCGATTGATGACGTCAAGTATTTACACTCAACTTTACACTAGACACCAGCTTCATACAATCAAATTTACATTTTTAAAGTGTAATGGGTAAATGTAATGAAGAGTTGTAGTTAGAGTTTTCAGACAAAACTTTTACAGACGGACACACAGACAGTACTTTTATCCATCCATCCATTTTCTTCTGCTTATCCGGGGCAGAGTCGTGATGCATCAGTCTAAGCAGGGACTCCCAGACTTCCTTCACCCCAGACACGTCCTCCAGCTCCTTCTGGGGGATCCTGAGGTGTTCCTAGGCCACCTGAGAGACATAATCCCTCCAGTGTGTCCTGGGTCTTCCCCGGGGCCTCCTCCTGGTGTGACATGAACACCTCCCGAGGGAGACGTCCAGGACACATCCGGAACAGATGCCTGAGCCTCAACTGGCTTCTCTCGATGTGGAGGAGCAGCAGCTGTTCTCCGAGCTCCTCCTGTGTGACTGAGCTCCTCACCCTATCTCTAAGGGAGCGCCCAGACACCCTGCGGAGGAAACTCATTTCAAGCGCTTGTATCTGCCATCTTGTCCTTTCGGTCACTACCCAGAGCTCATGACCATAGGTGAGAGTAGGAATGAAGACTGACCGGTAAACCGAGAGCTTTGCCTTTAGGCTCAGCTCCCTCTTCACCACAACGGTTCGATACAGCGACCGCATCACTGCCAACTGCACCTGTCCACCTGTCAATCTCACGCTCCCTCCTCCCCTCACTCGAGAACAAGACCCCGAGATACTTGAACTGCTCCAGTTGAAGCAGAGACTCTCCACCCACCTGGAGACGACAAGCCACCTTTTTCTGGTCGAGAACCACGACTTCAGATTTGGAGGAGCTGATCTTCATCCCAGACACTTCACACTCGGGTCAAACTGCCCCAGAGCTGCAGGTCCTGGTCTGATGAAGCCAACAGGACAGCATCATCTGCAAACAGCAGAAATCATCCTGTGGTCTCCAAACCGGATCCCCTCCGGCCCCTGACTGCGCCTAGAAATTCTGTCCATAAATACAATGAACAGAACCAGTGACAAAGGGCAGCCCTGGGGAGTCCAACATGCACAGGGAACAGGTCTGACTTACTGCGACAATGAACACAGCTCCTGCTCCGGTCATACAGGGACTGGACAGCCCTTAGCAAAGGGCCCCAAATCCCATACTCCCAGAGCACCCCCCACAGGACACCACGAGGGACACGGTCAAACGCCTTCTCCAGATCCACAAAGCACATGTGGACTGGTTGGGCAAACTCCCATGAACCCTCAAACCTTGAACCCATGAACCTTCCCACCTCAAGGGGGCAGCTCCACATGTTCAATGCCAATATATCTTAAGGAAGAGACAGGATGGTAGAACACTTCTGGATTCACCAACTTAAGACTCTAGCTCCTCACGGACTGAATGTGGAGTTTGATCTAGAGTTGAAGGCCACGCTCCCCCACTGCTTCAAGAACATGTGCTCCTGTGTGACCGGGCTTGCCTCTCCACAGAACTGCTCTGTACCTTGACCTGCTTGTCTCATCTTCCATTAAACACAGCTAAGTTTAATGCTGTACTGCGAAACATTCCAGGCTCAACATTTCAGAGCACACACATGGAGACGAGCGTGTGGTGAAATCACAGTTTCAGTGCTTCTGACCTCTGACCCCTGTGCATTATTTAAAATCACAATATTGATCTGAATTGACCTAAACAAGGAACGGTTACTATAGCAACAGCACCACAGGATCTGGGCATGCTCAGTGTGGAAAAAAAGGACAAATTCATCCAGTAATTTAAGTTTTTTTGATGTATTTATTTTTTTCGTAGAATTTATTGCAGTGATACAAACTTCACTTACAACTGTCAATTAAAACAATAAATGATTCTAATGATGATTCTGAAACTGGACCGACTCAGATCTGAACCGGTCTCACTGTTTGCTGGGGCCTCTCTCCAGCGCCATCTCTGAAACAACAGAACACAGCACAACAACAGGTCAGAAAACCAGGACTAAACCAGGACTAAACCAGGACTAAATCCATTTTACACCTGACACTCCTCTAGAGCAATTAGAAAAAATCACCTGAGAGACATAAAAATGTAAGATCAGACTTTTACCTGAACTCACCACCGCCACACCCACGGAAGAGAAGACTAAACCAAAAACACATCCTCTCACTGCAGACTTCTTCATACAGTGAGTTCTGACCTTCCACACAGGACTTGGTGGAAAATCATGTCTGTGTCCTCCATAAACAGCAGAGTCCAGAGCTTCACACACAGCAGCTGTGTTCTCTTCGTACCAGGTGTCAAAGGGCGTATACACTCGTCTCCACTCTCCTAAGTCCTTCACCTCCACAGTCCCAGCACAGCGACTGGCTCCTCCCACCAACCTGATCGGGTCTGAACAGACAGGAGACACAGTGAAGCCCCGCCCCTTTACCTGAGCAGGTGAGGTTGACAGTGGCTCCAGAGGAGCAGGTCCTTGAGTTGGAGCGGGAACAGTCCATCAGAGCAGACTCATGGCCCTCACAGTGGAACATCTGCCCCAGAGGAGAGAGCGCCCCCTGGAGGAGAGAAGGAGCCCCACAGCCCAGCTCCCTGCACAGCACCTCTGCCCCCTGCTGGTCCAAGTCCCCGTCACAGACCCCGGTCCAGGA